AACAAGGTCACCCTGCAGGCTTGATATAACATCTATCCAGGTGGTTGTACAAGTACACAAAACCATCAGCCCACATTAGAACAACAATAATGCATTAGCCAAGCGAGGCCCTCAGGACTCACAAGGTGGCCTTCGCCATTCCAAAATTGATGTTTCTCATTTAATATAATTCACAAGCATGTGCCACCGGATTTTACGGCGCTCATAAATAGCGGATTATATTTGCGCAATGTTAATGTCACACTATATATTCAGGCGCAAAAAATGACCGCGAGCTTGGCAGCGGAGTGGCCTAAACCAAAAGCGATAAATACGCAGCCTGTTACCTCTACTTAACTGCACCATCGCCATCGTGATTTGTGACAACGCATTTATTCCGAGACCGTCTTCATAACCCAACGACTGCGTTGCACAAGCACAGCAAAGACTACCAAAGCCCACATGTTTCAGTGCTCAACTTTGGGGCCGTCCATAAATGACGTCACGCACCTGGGTGGGGGGGGGGGTGTCAGACATTTGTGACGATGTGTGACGAGGGCGGGGGGGTTGAGAAATGTTACGTCGCATCAAAATGCGCAACTTTTAATAAATGTAGGCAACACGTTCTACTTAATTAAATAGACTTTTTAATAAATGTTTTCTCCTACAACATCAGAGTGCAGCGCCACATTAAATACGCACTACAATGACAATAGTTTAAAGCGATTTGAAGCATGTTTTATTTTTGTTGAGGGGGGGGGGGGGGCAGAGCTTTGTGACGTCATATTTGAGGGGGGGGGGGGACTGACTTTTTGTGACGCCGTGTGACGAAGGAGGGGGGGGTCAAAAATCGTCAAAAATCGCGTGACGTCATTTATGGACGGCCCCTTTCCCCAAGTACAGTACAAAGTCAGCAGCCAAATTAATGCCAAAGCTGATGCCTTATCTGAACGGCAACCACTACTCATGGCACTCCTGCCAAAAAGCACTTCCATTGAATCCAATTAGATTTCATAAATCGTTTAAACAAATACATTGGGCAAGTTACACCGAGGAGATTAGGCACTTGCAACTGTGAAGAAAAAAAGGATCAAGGGTTTTTCATTTTTGTTGCCGTTTCCACTGTTTTAAAGATAGTTCGTCAGCTGACACCATCCGTTTGACTCGAGGTCTCAGCCACCTGTTTGAAAGTTATTTAGAACCTTTGTTATTGCACATGCAGCGTCACCAATTACATTTCTTTAGAACTGCTTTTTGCATCGAGTTCGTTGTCCTTCCCCGCACGATTTGCACGGTTGGCCACATACATTGCGAGAGACGTTCAACGTACAAACACACCAGTGACTGGGCCCCAACAACGCACGTCATAATTAATTCGTTTGGTGAACTTAATTTCAACTCATTTTAAAGCTTTTGTGACTGCAGGGATTCATCTTCTTGGTTCTTTCGGTAAAGTCACGTAGAAGGAAAATAATAAAATAATAAAAATAAAACATAATACAATAATTCTCACGACGTTTCGGCCACAACGCAAGCAGCCGTCCTCAGGTGGAGAACAGGTCTGTCGGAAAGACAGCGTCTGAATGAAACACCACCATGCTTGGAGCGTATATTTTATAATGTTTTATTTTTATTATTGTATTACTTTCCTTCTACGTGACTTTACCGAAAGAACCAAGAAGATTAATTTCAACTCGTTTTTTTTCTTTCACTTAGCTTGGCAAAAAATAAATAGATTGGCTCCGCGAATGTCTTGTTTCAGTTGCATCGCTGTGTCACGAGGTGCTCGGGAGAGTGGAGTGCCCCTCGGGTGAAGGAGGGGCCACGTCAGACACGAACTTCGTGACGTCACTCTTTAAAGGACAATTCTCTCAACACGAGGGTCGTTTTACTGCTCTGCGAGAATCACGCGCGCATACTTTCGTCTCACGGCGTGCTACCGGTAGCACAATTTGGGAGTAAACTATCGGGAAAACATTAAAACAGTTCAGTTCGCAGCACCGTAATGACAGGGTGTTGAAATTGATTATAATAATGGGGCACTAGCATTGGAATTGCAAGTGAAAATTACAAGTTTGCATGCAGTATTGCAAGACACTTTTTGGAATAGGAAAAAATATGAAATCACCTGACTTTTAGATGGGAATATCAAGTCGTGTATGATTGGGCTAGGAGATTGTCAAGAGATGGCCAGAAGATGGCAACAAAGCACGGGATTACTGTATGAATATATGCAGAGCTTTGCCTGATTCTCTCAAAGGCATTGGTTTTCTCTGGGTCCTTCAATTTCCTCCCACATAGAAAGCCAAACACTCACTGGCCACACCTCCCGAAGCAGGATGCTCCTGGATAAATTACGGGTATTAATGTTCTCAATGCAATGCCGCTATTATACAAAGACTCCCTGGTTTCTTTGCAGCAGTTGAAACAATGGGGCAGGTTTCTTAAATGCTTCTGCCTCTCTCTACCCAGCAGTAGCATAGGCGCCCCGGTGGCGAGATGTTAAATCCCTTGTCTAAGTATGCAGGAGGTCGTGGGTTCAATCCCGTGCATGACACATGTATATATGGAGTTTGCATGTTCTCCCCCTGATCGTGTGGATTTTTCTCTGGGTCCTCCAGTCGCCACATTAGAAACGTGAGTTTAGAGTATTTGGCTGCTATACATTTCCACGCGATGAGCCACTTCGTCGAGCCATCATTTGTGGCCAGGTCACTTCTGAAAATTAGCTACGTAGCTCAGTGGGACCTCACCTGGTGGTGTAAAACAAAACAAGTTTAGCATAGTTTGTAGTTTAGTATAGATGGGTACGCCACGGTTGGTCGATCGGTAGGTCACATGTGGTGTGATGAAGTCTGAGGAACCCCACCTCTGCCCAAAATTACCCTCTGGAAGTACTCCCCAGAGCCCCCCTATAGGGAAGGCTCTTCCGCCAGCAGTAATTGTGAGCGAGCAATTGCAGGGCTGCCGCTTTACCTCGAACCTATGATCTTATTTATCATTTCAAAATGTCAGGTGGAGTCAGAGGGCCTTGGAGTGATGAAAAAAGCCAAATTCATTCATGTAGCTGCCTACCTTCATCAGTGTGCCGTATCATTGTGGAAAACTAGCAATGGGAAGGCATGCTAACCGGTAAATCTGCCGCTGTGTGACTTTGCATAATCCCGAGATATTTTCCGTGGTAAGGTACATTCCTTTGCTTATACGGCTTGCGGTATATTAATCTACTTTAACACCAAATGATCTGTGACTGGATGCTTCGGCAAAACGCACGGTGGACGTGATGCATCGTGGCAGTCGGCAACAGAATGCGAATGAAACGTCTGGCAGAGCTGGGTAGCGGCTAAAAGTAATAACCGTGTCTCCCCTTCAAACGATAAGCTGCATCTAAATGGACGTTCACTTCGGAAAAAAAAAACCCAACAATAAAAAGGAAAGTATAACCCATTCAAGTGCCTTTTTTTTCACTGCAAAGATGGCAAAGGATTAAGTTCGGAGAAGCACACCGTTTGAGTTGTGTGTATTTTTCAGCCCTTTTTTGTTTTTCTAAGCCAGTGCTAGCTAGCTTCTGGGTGGGCATCGTTAAACGGTGCTCACGTTGATAATTGTTTTTTTACCCTTCTATCTGGCAACAAAACTGACACCTTTTTTTACAAGGAGTCATGTCTGCATTGACCACAATACCTGCAGTCAGAATGCAAACAAAAAACATAACTCTGAAAATGTATGCACTGTCCTTGAAGTTGATTGGTCCACACCCGAGACAGCTTTCATATTTTGCTCCTGGCAAATGAGGTTCCAATGGTGGTGCTCACGTTGATTTTGTTTTTGTAGCTGCGCTGTACGGCGCTCCGATGGGTTTGTCGGTGCGTTAATGCGCCGCTGTCCAGGCACGGCGACGTCCGTCGTTTCGTGCCCCCCCCCCCCCCCCCCGTGCCAGGAACTTCTTCCCGGAATAGAGTTTCAAGTCAGCACTCCCATCACGCGCACGGCGAAAACGTCGGACGTCGTGCCAATCAGCGGCGTGGTACGACCCGGAAAAAAAAAAACACCGAAGCGGCCTTGGGAATGCCGTCGCAACCGAGTCCCGTTGGCAGGAAGGGAGAAGGGAGAAGGGCACGGCTACGCACGGTGCAAGCGCAAAGGTCATGTCCGCTCGTAATTACGCCATCATTTAGCGATCGCGCGAGGGGGGTGGGGGGGGCAACTCCGCTAAGCGTGGAAAGTACCCGCATGGCCAATCACATTTAAATGCCCGCGCGGTAGACATCGCGCCCGACCGGCCCAAATCCCGAGAGTTTCCCCCTGCCGAGTTGAAAGAGCGGGATGAAATGAAGACTGCTAAGCTTGTGCCGAAAGGTTAATTGCTCGAGTAGGAAACAAGCTTCGGGATGTAAGGAACCTTTAACCCCTCTAAACTCCCAAGGGGGCTACGATGTAGGCCAGGGCAGAGCCACCCATCTCTTTAGCTACCCGCACGTTTGTTTTTGGAGCAGTGGAAAATTTATCTGCAAAATTGCGCGTACGTTTACGTGAATCATAGCTCGCTAACCAAGACAATTGTATTTTTATTCAGATAAAAAAAAAGTAGTTTCTATTTTATAGAACTAGCAGCCCACACGTCCTTTGGAAATTACTATCTGCTCGTCCTTCCCTCTAGCCAGCCAGCCAGCCAGCAAAACTTTCGTCTCATATTGTACAAGTGTGATAGAATGTCCCAATCATTTGCGTGGGATCAACAGCCGGGGTACCTCAAAATAACACACCAAACTGCAGTTGCACCACAATGCCACTGCTGGTGGAGCGAATGTTGCGCCCCACCGCACAAAAACACCAACGAAGCCCCTGCATCGTAGCATTGCAGTCAACCCAGCCACAGGAACGCATCGCTCACGACCGGAGAAACCCCAAAAGCGGAGTTTCCTGCTCTTGCACGATTCGAGTCGCGAGACGCTGCCGGCTGTCGGCATCGCGAAGTCGCGGGGCGGCTGCGGTGGCTGCCGTGCGCGGCAGTGACTTACCCTTTGACCTTCTTTGCCGGGAGAGCCCTCCTTGCCCTCCGCTCCCAGATCGCCCTGCAGGACACAGGATGGCAAAAACCCAACGAGTCAGGGCCCCAACCCCCATGCCATCCCGAGGTGCCACCAACCTCGGCTACAGCGGCTGATTGCGCGCGATTAATAAAAAAGTGGTGGTGGCGCGCCCGTGCTATCCGGCGCTTTTGGAAACCAAGGGTTGGTAGATCACGGAGATCATAAACCCGCTGCGCTGCGAGGTGCAAGTGCGGTAACCGGGATCGGCAAACCTGCCTCTGTGGAAACCATTTGGGTTTGATCCCCTCGTTATGCGCGGGGAGTGAAGCGTGAGGTTACCCTGGTTTCATGCCACTTTGCCAAACACCCCGTGGAAAGGACTAGATTAGGAAATGCCAATAAATGACCCTCGTGAATTGTGGTCTCGAGACTCAGTGAGGCTCTCCTCGATAAATAAATGAGAGCAACAACGGTCTACTGTGCTGCTCCAGGCACCGTTGTTTTTCTCTCACAAGCAGCAACACACTTGTTAAGGAATTTGTCAAACACCTTCAATGTAGGCCATTGTTTTTTTCCTCCATGATTTGGTTCAGATGGTGAGAAAATTGTTTGAGTGAAAAAAAAAATAGCACGCGTAGCTTAAAAAGCACAAGACTGTCCTGAAATGTTTTATATTTATTTATTTCACGTGTAATGTGAGCCCTTGGTATAATCACCGCTGGAAGAGACTGTAAAAAAATCAACAACAGTCAGCTGATGCTGGTACCGGGCTGCGGCCGCCTCATCATTAAAAAACACAATCGTGTACATTTTTTTTTTTTTTACAAAATGCAGCCCTCTGAGCGAACGTCTGAATTAACTCCCAGGAGAAATACACGAAAGGAGCTGTTTACGAACGGTGTTCCAATTTTCTAGTTGTGACAAATATGCCGCAAAAAAGTTTGCGCGAGAATGACGCACACCGCCGCGTTTCTTTGGCTTTTATTTTTAGGTTTGACAAGTGACAGCCCTTTCTTTGCTTTTTTTTTACATCCCAGCGAGCGTTCCACTCCCATCCTCGTGCAGCAGACACATCCAGGGCTCGGTAATTGCGCGGCGAGTGTGGCCAGCCTCTCCGCCTCTCCGAGGCTTTCTCTGCGTGACGCGAGTTTGAAGGTGTTTCCAGCCGGCCTCGCGTTACCTTGGCTCCAGGAGGGCCGGGAGGACCGGTAGGGCCAGCTGCACCGTGGTCTCCCTAAATAAAAAAAGACAGAAGAGTTCAGCCCCTTTTCGAGGTTTGCCACGGGAGAAACCCAATGTTCCACTCTGTCAAAACGTGATCCGTCTATTACGAATGCGAAGAGTCGCTCTAAAAAAAAAAAGGCCTGACTCTTACGAAACATCCCGCTGTGCTCTATGACCGATTGCAAACACGTATTCCATGAACCTAATTGTTTTCATTCAACATCGGCGAAGTTGTGCTCTGCGATGCATCGTATTGCTTACGCGCTCTCCTTTCAATCCCTGCTGTGCCACCTGCAAACAAACATCAACAAACAAGTCTCTTCCGTCTCCGCAAATCGACAAAACACATCCAAAGTGCTGCTCGTGGGTGCAATAACGCTAAGAGAACGCAAACAACCGCGGGTGTTTTCAAACTCTCCCGATCGAGGAACGTGGGTCTGTAAGGCCCCGCGGTCATAGCGTGAAGGGGAAAACCAACGGAATATCTCGCGCATCGCCCAGCTGCCCCGGCCCTGGGACGAGTCTGTCAGCGGCTCCTTTCTGCCGCCTAATTATCGGAACCGGCGCGTGAGCACGGCACGCGCCAACGCCGCTCGCGCTCATTCATCCGCACGGCTTGCTGCTGCGCCGCCGGGTGGCCGGGGGGGGGGGGGGGTGAGCCGCGTGAGGCTGTCAGCAACGCTGCTGAGAATGAGACAAGGCAGGCGGTGCTGGTGGCGGTGAAGTGGTGGTGGTGAAGGTGGCGGTGTTAAAGATGGTGGTGGCGGCGTTGAAGGTGGTGGTGGCGGTGATGGTGTTGAAGGTGGCAGTGGCAGCAGTGGCGGTGTTTAAGGTGGTCGTGGCGCTGAAGGTGCTGAAGGTGGTGGTGGCGGCCACAGCAGAGGCAAGAGTTTCTATTTCGGGGGGTGCGGGGGGGGGGGGCACGTGGGTTGGGGGGTGGCAGCTGTATTAACGCTTTGTGCTCTCCCCGCCCGCCTGGGCCCTCACGCCGCCTTCCGCTACGACTCAGTCAATTCAACCGCAGACTCCGGCTCCGAGAAGATTCGCCGCGGCCGTCGACGCGCGCGCCTCTCATGTAACTCCTTAATGTGAATTATAGATCTGCAGGGCGCGTATCTCCCACAACAGCTGCTCGGCTTCGTCTGCACGACAAACGAGCAGGCACCGTGCTGCACAGAGTAATTATGTTTGGGGCGAAACAAAAAAAGACCCTCATCCCACGGGTAGCAACGAGCTCCTTACAAACCCCCACCCCACCCCTTCCACCGCAGCTCTCCCCGCCCCCCCCCCCCGCCAACACGATATTTCAGTCACTTACAATGTCGCCGGGTTGTCCAGGCGGTCCCACCTCCCCCTGCGGGCAAGAAAAGAGCCGGCACGGTGATTAATAAACGTGTTTTTTTTAAGCACGTGTGTCCTTCGTTTTCCCTTGGTCACAGGTCTCGTAAAATCCCTGCGCAGAGACACAACGCGCGGTCCATTCGTCACGAACTTGCGTGGGTTATCAACTGACTGGCTTTAAGCATCTGCATGAAAAAGTGGGGAGCGTAAATGACGATCAGAGCAAACGAAACGAGGAAACAATTTCAAAATAATAACCGTGCATGAAAGCGAGCGTTTATAAAAACGTGTAAAGTGCAATTTCGATTTAAAGCTTTCGTGACTGCAGGGATTCATCTTATTGGTTCTATCGGTAAAGTCACGTAGAAGGGAAATAATAAAATAATAAAAATAAAACATGATAAAATAATTCTCACGGCTGCTTGCGTTGTGGCCGAAACGTCGTGAGAATTATTTTATAATGTTTTATTATTTTATTATTTCCCTTCTACGTGACTTTACCGAAAGAACCAAGAAGAACGTGTAAAGTTAGTTGGGTAGCTTTTCCCCCAATCGACTTTTTTTTTCCCCGCCAAGCTGGTATAACCTTGCTCAAATCAAGTCGGGTGTTAACTCTTATTCATTAAAACTTAAAGAGTGCCGTTTGTTGCTGGCCGCAGGGCGTTTTTTGTTCTCCGAGCCTGCGCTCGTTAACCGCCGCTTTACAAAAAGAGCGGTGATGCTATTTTGTAGATGTGCTATGTTTGAGTTTCAGTTAATGACAATCACAAAAGTGCAACTGATAAAATCAAATAATGGAATTTGTACAAGCACACTTTGCTCTTTGCAGCCGAGATGCGCAAGCTTGTTACCACTGGATGGAGTGCATGGGGAATGGGGTGCTAATGATTTATAACCCAAAAGAAACACCACTTAAACCACAACATTTACCAGGTCACAGTAGCCTGGCAAACTTTTGGATGTTAACTGTCCAAAACAATTGGCAGAGAATATAATTAAATCAATATGGTAAAAAAAACTCCCAAAGTTTAACAAACGAGGAATAAAATAAACATTACATAACAATACTGTATACACACGCCAATCGAATAGACTTAAATTCATATTGCTGTTTGAATTTTTGAAAAAAAATAAACAAAACTTCAAACTCTTCTCATTCAAAAGAAAAGCAGCAAAATAACTCAGCAATATCGCTGACAATAAAAAAAAATCTCACCATTATTTAAAAATTCTGAAGCCACAATATTGGACGGAAAATGGCCACTTCAGCAGCCCTTAGGGCCAAGCAGAGTTCTACGGAAGCCACTAAAAACGTTTAAGAATCAATTTTTGTTGTTGAATTTTGACCAAACGCCAACATTCATCGCAATAAAAACATATTTTAAGATTGAGTTTAAAGTTCCCGATGTCAACAATGGCTTTCGGTCCTTGTTTCGCTTGACTATTTGCCGGTTTATTTATGGAGCATCACAAGTAAAACACTTTTCAGAGGTCATGGCGACCTCCTCGCAAGCTGATTTATTAACGGCACAATTGTTACATTTCATTGAAACGGGAATCTCAGTTGGCAAGGAAATTGGTAGCTGCTCGTAAACGGCCATGCTGATTGGCTCTGTCTCATGGATAAAGCCATGGATGAAAGTGAGAGGCCATTCTTGACAAGAGTTAAAAAATGCGGCAGCGTTCCTTGTTAACTGAGGCTGGAAGGTAAAGAGACTGCTGAGTGAGCAGTAGGTGTGAGGATACATACTCTTTCTCCTCTAGGCCCAGGAAAGCCAGGGAATCCATTACTTCCTTTCTGGCCCTGAAAATCAAAACAGACAAAAACATAATGATAATAAAGATGTATTTTTTTAAATATATATTTTCTCAATTTTTTTCTAACTGTGGTCTCGTGAGACAAATGTACATTCTGCAAAGTTCACCGGAAATGACATCAACTTATGTTTTATAGAATGGGCTGCGGAAGGAGACATGACGGAACTACGTCTGAGATCGCTTCAAGTTACCTCTTACACACACACATGAGGGGTGCTGCTCTCTCCTCGGCACATTCGTATAGAAGAATGTCTGTTAAATGGCAATGAAACTGTTTATATATATATTTACAGTCTCAGAGCTCGAATTTTGTCAAATTCAGTGCAAAACCAATTGTAATATTACACGTTTGTGCGTGCAGTCAATGGCGAACGAGCTGAGACCATGAACCCGCCGAAACTTGAGAACCCGATTTTAAACATGGTCGGATACCTGAATTCGAATTCAGAATTTTAGCACTTGTGGTTCAGTGCTCGAAAACTCTGAGACACCCAACCAAACCTCCGGGGAAAGCAATTCTTAAAATTAAGAACACAAACTGGGCAAGGTGCATTTTGATTTAAGCACCTCCGTGGATAAGCCAACATATGAAACATATCCTTGCTTCCAGTTCATTGGTAGACATTTATAATCGTTTTTATTTCCCAATGGAAAAAAAACATGAGAATGGTCCAAAGCAGGTATAGAATATAAAAAAAAAACATTGCGGCACAGCGAAAGGAAGCCGATTGCGAAGGGTAAATCAAGAAAGAAAAAAAACGCATTCACACGAAACGCGGTTCAATAAATCACAATTTAAATGTCTTCCGAAAGAGGGGATTTTTTTTCTCCCATGCATGTGATTTTCCATTTTGCGCAGCGCGGAGGGAAAGGCAGCACTTTACTGGGACGCAGGTAACATTTTTATAAGGATGGCCATAAACGTGGCTCGGGCGAGAGAGCGTGGCACGTGTTTGTTTACGTACATCCTTTCCGCTTAGTCCCGCGGGCCCCGGCAAACCTATATCTCCACGGTCACCCTGTAAAAGCAAAAGAGCTCATCAAACTCAATTCGCATCCCCCAACCCCCTTGCACAGCGAGGCCGGGCAGAGCCAGCTACATATTCTCTGCGTGTAAAAAAAAAGAATATATAAACAAAAACACACACACCAATGGAGACTAGGCTCTAAGAAAAGCTGTCTCGAGTGCGGACCAATCAACTTCAAGGACAGTGCATATCGTTATCATTATCAGAGTTGTTTCTTTTTGTTTGCATTTTGACTGCTTGTGTTGTGGTTATTGCAAACATGATGCCTTGTATAAAGGTGTCGTTTTTGTACCAGTTGAAAGGGTAAAAACCTATCACTATATTTTGCCACTGGTAAAAGAGACGTCTCATAGCACACACAATGGTATTTTAAAATATATCCTCAACTCGGCTATAATGGTATTTTAATTCATTTTTACAATGATTCATTGGATCAGTGTTTCGAAAGAAGACAGGCCCTGGTCTGTCTTGAGCCACACTACTCTCATAAAAATATATAAAAACAACCGGCAGACTCTTGTGACCCCCACTAACTGAAATAAAAAAACCTCTCCCGGTTCACGAGAGCCATCCCACGCGTGCGTCACGTTTAACACGTAGGCTTTTGTGGCCAACATTATCCCTAAGTTTTTTTTTTAGTTAGAGCGCGTAAATATAAATAACTGGCGTGTAATTGTAATGCGTCAAACCTCACCAATTGGTCGTGTAGGGTGGTCGCGGGTTTAACGACACATTCATATTAACGCGATCTAACCTAAAAAAACAAAACCTCGATTATGTGTTACGTGCTCCCTGAAGGCCACGGCGTCCCTAAGCGCCGCAGAATCCCGCGGGGGAATTCAGCATCGTGAACGGCGGGGCTGAGATTTAAACCCTCCCTCTACGTGTCTCGCAGATATGGTAAAAGGGTAAAGGTGCAGCCCTGCAATTTCTTGCTCGCGCCCACCGCTGGCCGAAGGGCCTCCTCCGCATGAGGGAGCTCTGGAGAGGACCCCTCTCCACAGTAACTTGGCCTACTCTTCCACACTGGCCAGAATAGGTGGGAGTACCCACACTTAACCCCACCACACCAGACCTGCTGATCGATGGTGTGTGTATTGATACTGCTTCGTGGATAGACGCGGAGGGGGGGGGGGGGTTGGGGGTTTAGGAAAATTTCGCGTCTCCGATTAGTACGGTTTGCTACGTACGGTGCGAAAAAAACTCAACAAAATGTATATCCAAACTTGTACCATTGCGTCATCTGCCATGCTAACCACTTACACGACGACAGCGACGGTGAGGTCCATGAAATGTTTACACTTGATATCACTAAATGTTTGAACGTTAAACATTTCAGCCGCACAGGAATTCGCGAACCTATTTCTCACCCCTTTGTAGTGCCCTGTGTTGTCATTCCCCGGATGAAAGTGTCCCGTAATGTGTTTTACTTTGAGAAGGCATGGCATTTGTTCAGTGGCAATAATATCACACAGTAAGGGCTGCTCAAATGACACTTATTACAACAGTGATATCAGTTAAAGGTGCAGCCCTGAATGTTTTGCTCATGCCACTGCTGGTGGAAGGGCCTCTAGGAGAGTCAGCTCTGGAGAGCCCCTCTGGAGGGTATTTTGGCCTACTCTTCCACACCGGACAGACATTTTGGAGGAGGTGGGGAGTACCCACTACACGTTTTCCCAAAAATCAGTTGGTTGGTGACGTTGAACCAGGTGCAAACCTGTAAGGACTCCACATCTCCTCTGTAACGGTGAATTAAAGACTCTCAAATAGTTTTTTTTCTTTAAGATTGTCCTGCGTTGAGATGTTTGGCCAATGCCACCAATGAGTGTGTTACACGTGGGAATAAACCGGGGTGCCTGGGGAAAACCCACGCATGAAAACGGGGGGTGCACCGATGGGTTCACAAGCACACGTGATGTACTGCCACTGCATGGCCACTATACCCAGTTGTGTGAAGCTCTAGATCGCAGGAATGCTCCACTATGCTTCTCCCCACTCGAGATTTATATTCTGCCGATGAACGGATGGATGAATGATGTGTAAATAAAAGTTATTTGCAATAAAAAAATATAGCAACACGGATAAGGACCGCAACAAGAAGTTTCTGCAATACACACACCTCAGTATAAACTGATGCCTCTAAAGAGGCTCCATATCCGCATGGCATCGATGTGACCTCGATATCCGCATGACCTCGATGTGACCTCGATATCCACATGACCTCGATGTGACCTCGATATCCGCATGACCTCGATGTGACCTCGATATCCGCATGACCTCGATGTGACCTCGATATCCGCATGACCTCGATGTGACCTCGATATCCGCATGACCTCGATGTGACCTCGATATCCACATGACCTCGATGTGACCTCGATATCCACATGACCTCGATGTGACCTCGATATCCGCATGACCTCGATGTGACCTCGATATCCACATGACCTCGATGTGACCTCGATATCCACATGACCTCGATGTGACCTCGATATCCACATGACCTCGATGTGACCTCGATATCCACATGACCTCGATGTGACCTCGATATCCGCATGACCTCGATGTGACCTCGATATCCACATGACCTCGATGTGACCTCGATATCCACATGACCTCGATGTGACCTCGATATCCGCATAACCTCGATGTGACCTCGATATCCGCATGACCTCGATGTGACCTCGATATCCACATGACCTTGATGTGACCTCGATATCCACATGACCTCGATGTGACCTCGATATCCACATGACCTCGATGTGACCTCGATATCCACATGACCTCGATGTGATCTCGATATCCGCATGACCTCGATGTGACCTCGATATCCACATGACCTCGATATCCGCATGACTTCGATGTGACCTCGATATTCACATGACTTCCATGTGACCTCGACATCCACATAACCTCGATGTGACCTCAATGTTCAAATTACCTCGATATCCACATGACCTCGATGTGACCTCAATATCCGCATGACCTCGATGTGACCTCGATATCCACATGACTTCCATGTGACCTCGACATCCACATAACCTCTATGTGACCTCGATATCCACACTCAACGTTGCTAATTTTACATTGCCATACGAATGAAGCAGTAGCGTCCGCTTCCACAGTTCTGTTGGCTTTGCGAGGTTCGCCACATCACCCTGGATTACAAGGCCGGAGTCAATAAAGTTATACAAATCTGGTCACAGACATACACGCTAACATACACCATGGAGTCATAGACAAAGCTCACCCACATAGCCTTTGTAAATGTATTGGGGCAAATACTATTAGTGAGAACCTATTAAGGCTGGCACAGTACACAAACTTCTGCTGGCCAGGCACTGCTGCCTAGCCACATTTGTCTTCCCAATGCTAATATTTACACATGGCACCAGGCACACATTTAAGAATGAGTCGATCTAGGGAAGGCCCATGACCGGTTGAGATATTTGTCACTGGTGTTGGCTGTGAGCGAGAATCGAACTCAAGTCTCAGGGTTCGTAGCAAAGTGTGCTAACCACTACACTACCGCTCCCCAAACGAGCATAGAAAGAACTCCCGTGTAGCCTTTAACAAACTGTCATGGAAAATGCTGTTACTAGGCACCGATGAAGGCCCACATGGTACACAAAAGGGTAGGTGGTCAACACCACACTCGGTCACCTTAGTTTCCCCCAGTGCTGATGTTTACACATTGTACCAGGTACTCATCTAAGGCCGAGTCGACTTAGGGGAGGCCCAGAACCAATTCAGATAATCATCACTGGTGTTGACCGTGAGTGGAAATCGAACTCAAGTGGCCAGGTTCGTAGCGTAGCGCGCTAAGCAATGTTCCACCACTACCCAACACACAAAAACACATGAACAAATACACCATATGAAAAAATAAGCATACGTTTTATCCTTTCTGGCAATAAAACACGAGGTGTTAAGATGTTCAAACACCAAATAGGAATCAAGTCTGCATTAACCACACGTACTTGTGTAGAACAAAGGTCCCATTTTAAGCACACATCATATTATAACGCACCTCCAACTTTTCATTTAAAATAGATGGGAAAAGACTGTGTCATATCATCCGTAAAATACGTTACATGTGCCAAATTTGATGTGACCCTAGGCGCCACAAAAAGACACAATCCAGGCTTCAACGACACCATCCCTATGCCACCGTATGTGCATTCATCCAGCAACATGTGCATTTAATGTTCCCATATAAAACCCCATTTAACTCAATAATAGAACAAAGAAGATCAAAACTGCCGATTACAGCATCCTGTCCTCCACTCTCCTTCTCTGCCCAGCCCTCCCTTACAGGACAACAACAGAGGACAGAGGTTCCGGCGTCTGTGCAGTCTCGGCAACGCAAAACCAGATGCCCCGAGCCCCGCGCGCGTTGACTTGTGGGGCGTGCGATCATTCTTGACACCGACCACGGACACACTGGCACGCGGCACCATACAATTAGGCTACTCGACCCGGGTAATTACGATGCTGTAATCACCTCCCCCACACCCCCCAAAAAATAAAAGCACGTGTTCCCAATATCTTAATTCGCGGTCTTTGATTTGTGAATTTGGAACCGCACGTGTTTGGCTGCGGTAAGAAAATGCGTTGCGGAGAAAGTCCAGAAATTGACGAGGGTGAGAGAAAGAGAGAGAGAGAGAAACTGCTTCCCATATTTGAATGGGGTTTTACAACTGTGGGCTCTGTGCTCCGTGCTCTGGCTGGTTTCATCTGTCATGTAATGAAAGCTGAATGCCACACACCTGGTCTGCACATCACAGTGTGGGCCACGTGTGCAAAGCTGACATTGGACAAAATCCCAAAACACTGGGGCAGACCAACACGTGATATTTGGCACCAGATGTTACGTTTATGACTCTACAGTATTCCCCGCGTTATTCGCGAGGGATATTTTCCCGAGATGTTCGTGAATAGCTCATTTCGTGGAAAATTATATTGGCCTACAAGAAAAATATGTTTTATGAATTACCCTAAATAAATACGTAAAACAAACGATTTAATACATGAACATGATCTCATCACTTTTTCTCAGCACTTTCTCGCATCACATTATCCGTCACTACTTTATCTTAAAAATCGCGGGATAGCAAGTTCGCGAATAACGAGGGAATACTGTACATGCTTTCGGAATTACAGAACGCAACGCTAATTGGGAGATGTGGCGAAGTGGTTAGCGCATTGTGCTATGAACCCAGCGACTTGAGTTCATTCTCAGCCACCGGTGCACCACCCAGGGACTTCTGAACCAGTGCAGGGCATGCCCCTTCACCAACCCGCTCTGACCAGCGTGGTGAAGTTCTGTCAAACAACCACTTTGACCAAGACGGCATAGGCAGGCCTTCAGCCCATCGTTGGACTGTACAGAGGGCTCCGGGAACGAAGAATAAAATTAGCATTGCTTAAGCGAGCACGTTTTATAACTCACACGTCGGTGATTACAGTAATTAAATTTTCTCGCTCGCTATCTCGACAGAGTGCGACGCAACGAAACGATGCCTCCTTTTTTTCTCTCGCCTCTTGCAACGAGAACGGTGCGTCAAAAAAAAGAAGAATCTGGAAACGCAATTACGTCTAAATGCATCGTTTTCTGCGGAATATCAGATTACAGCAGGGGCATCCTCCCGGGCACAATGTCTCCTTTGAGCCGCAGCCTGCCGCTCAAGAGGGAGGGGGCGGTGTACCTCCGCTGCTGTCACGGCGGCAGGATAATGAGTGTCTGGCCGAGATCCTCCTGCCGTGGTCACCCGTTTGGCAGGCCGCTCAAGCGCGTGTCCAGCGGCCGTGCGTCTGTCTCGGCGGGCGCGGTGGCACAGCGTTACAGCTGCAAAGTGGCGAGACACACCTAGGCCCCCCTCCCTCCCTCCCTCCCCACCTGCCTTGGCTGTCAAGCTGCGGTTCTGTCAAAACCCGCGGCAGACCAAGACATTGCACGCAGCCTTTACAGCCTCGTCAAGTGTCTTTTTTACGTGCGTTCCTTTCGTTCTCAGACTGTGAGCTCATCAGCCATTAGAACTATGCCATTATCATAATTCGTATTCTTCTTTGTTCTATCGCTGCAACGTGTGTTATTTGTGTTTGTTTTACAGTCCCCTTTGTCAATGCGCTTGCTGGATGAAGTACTCCCCGCGCAATGTCAGTTACGACGGTTGTTTTTATATCGCACATCATTGTGGCACATGAGCAATGGATCACTCTTTTTATTATTTCTTTGTGCAGCAAGAGACTAAAGTGGGGTTCTGTGAAAGTCCTGATGTGCTCATCTTCTTGGTTCTTTCGGTAAAGTCACGTAGAAGGGAAGTAATAAAATAATAAAAAATAAAACATAATGTGCTGTGCAGGACATCAATGCACGTGTGTACACCAGCATGCGATAACGGAGTTGGGCCTGTAGGGGGCTGGCAGGGTTATTGATTAACCGGACTTGTAAGCCAGTCACGTGGTTAATGGCGACTCGGTTGAGGATTGCTGTGTGTGACACACGTGCTGTAGCATCTTACAGATTAACCACAATGTGTTTGCCCTCGATTTGGAGCACCTGCTCACGTCCTTTATTTCGAGTGTGCAACATCATGCGTCACCATACTTCACCACGCTGAACACTGCGGGTCGATGCGGGAAGGTTACCAGGATCTGTCACCGATGTTGGCTGTGGCAGGGAATCAAACTCAGGTCGCCGGGTTCAGAGTGAGGTGACCGAACTACCGCGCCACCATTCTGTGTTTGAACTCTGAATAAACAAATCACCTAATTTCCTCATATATTTCTAATATATATGTATATATTTATATATACACAGTATAATGAGTGAAGTCATGCATAATTAATGTTTCAACTAAGGGGGTCATTTAATAGCGTAGGCGACGTGTATTTTTGGTGAGAGAGTAACAATGTCATGACCTGCTCGTTTAATGGTAACCATGGACCACAAGCAGAGGGAACGCCCGCGATTCTCCATCATATCAGAGGTACATCACAATTTTTGTTATTTTTTTTCAGTTGACAGGCCGAGACTGGGATAAAAGTGGGGAATCAAACATTTATCGAGTATGTCTTTATCTCTTCTTAGCTGAGCCAGCCACACACTTACGCGCAGCGTTGGTATCACGAGAGCGTTTGCCTTCATAGTGGCCATGCAGGACACATTTTACGTGGCTCAATTTAATGACTGCGCCGATACATGCAAAATAATTGTTCACCAAGTGGCACAGGCGCTGCTGATGAGTTGTAAGGGATTTTAAAGGCCTCCTACGAGCAATGCCAATGGTGCATTGACGAATCCATAAACAAAGGCGGCAACGTTGTTACCCCTGAACCTTTGTCGCAATGTGAAGTTGAAACACCTTTGATCAGTTACTAAACTAAAACTACACTTTTTATTTTACCAGGTAACACCCACTGAGCAATATAGACCTTTTACAGAAGTAACCTGACCACAAATGATTGCTCAACGAAGTGATTTATCACGTAGAAATGTATAGCAGACAAATACTCCAAACTCACGTTTCTAAATGTGGCAGGAAAACCCGGAGGACCCGGAGCAAAATCCACGCGACCATGGGGAAAATATGCAAACTCGAAATATACAGCAGGCATCTAGGGTTGGGATTTAACTCACGACCTCCTGTATACCAGGCGAGGCAATCAACATCTCGCCACCATCTGGAGCAGCCAGTGAGTGATTAAGACTTTCAGAATAGATGGCCTGGGCTATTCTTGTTGAGTTCTATATACTGGATTAAATACCAAAGGCACCAGTGGGAAGATGAATGCTTCATCTAAATTCAGAACAACTTTTGGCATGGCCAACACACGGACAGACACGCTGTTTTTGAATTTGTGTGATGCCAAGTGGCAAGGCAATGTATTCGGGGACACAAAATCATGGCTGAATGAAATGTGCATCGAAATTATGTTCACGGTATGGTGGTGATGAGTATATGAGAGATGCTTAATAAATTCAGCATTGCAAATCTGTAACACGTGCAATGGGATTCTGCTAAGGCCCTTTGAAATGCGGTCTCAACATTTTTCATTTTAACTTGACCTTGTTTTGAATTTCACCCATGTGAAAAGGCAGGTTTTCCATGAGGATAGCTGGTAAGGGAGCCTTTGACATTCTGGCAAAGCGCCAACAACATTCAGAGCTTACATTGGCTACTAAGTTATGTACTTACACACATCAAAAAAGCTTTTTGAAATTGGATGTGCAATGAATGCCATTAAGGACTGCTTGTTCAATGATTTAAGGCATTTCTGGTGCAGCTCGAATTTTGTCTGCGAGTCATTAACTTAAGTGCCTAGAAACAAATGCTGAAAATGTTACAAAATTGCGATTATTAAATCCCACCTTTTCTCCTCCAATTCCCACATGGCCTTGTATTCCTTGGGGGCCCTGAAGTGGAAAAAAAGTGTAAAAAAAAGTAATACAAATTTCAGACGATTTCAGACATGGAGCAACTTACATTTCAAAAGGAAATCAGTTCACAATGCAGTTTTTTGTATGAATAGCGAGTAAATTAAACATACGATTGACACATTTTCAGAACATCGGGCAGTCCGTTCTAACACCTCTAACAGTTCCCATACATTTCAGAGCGCACTTGTGAAAACGTGCCTCGGAGCTTGAGTTCGCCTTCCGACATTTTTGAAAATGCGGCCCCTTTGCGTTTTGGAATGGGCAGAATAACCAACATTCGCCTGCCCCTTGGTTGGCTCCCCTATTTCCCATTCCATCAGCTTTTCATTTAGAGCTGAGGCGTGATAGGTTGCCACCCTGCCCCATGCCACAATCTCTTTACGTCTCACCGACATTCCCCCCCCCCCGCTGGAAACACTGTGCTGCACAAAACCACGCCAAGAGAAGCACGCATTAATAAAGGTGACTTACGGGGGGTCCCGCAAGCCCAGGTGGGCCTGTCTTCCCATCCGCCCCCGGTGGACCCTGAAAAACACGCAAAGGGGAGGGGGGGGGGGCATGTTGCGTTACGTGCTTCCGCGCCACCATGCAGCCAAACATAGCGTGGAGGACACGCAGACAAACACGTGCGCGCTCCTCTAGGCGCACATGGCAGACACGTAACACCTCTATCGCCTTCTTGTTTAAGGACGAGCTCAAATGATCGCTCGACATTCATCGCCGCCAGCGTCGTTCAAATGCAAGCGAGTAAATAACGCGCGGCAACCATAAACACGTGCTAAACGACATCGGTGTTCAATTAATCCCGATCAATGCTGGGGAATGAAGCGGTTAGCAGATGGCAGTGGAGCAAACGGGTTGCTGACCTATCTGTACAGATTTATCAAAATGGAGAAGCAGGCAATGGTTCACCTTCATATGTGTGTGTGTCACTCCACATAAATCATTTGTATATATATTTTACACAGCCTTTAAGGAGCGCATAAGTTCAGCAAGGTGTACAGTGTCTCATCACCTTTCTTGAATTAATGCTGGAGAATGGCCAGGTATGATATGCAAGTAGCCTCTCTTTAACATGCGGGTCTTAGTTCGAGCAAAAATGTATAAATGACAACAACAACAACAAATAATGATCAGTGTCAATTTGAAGACTATAATAAAGAGATAAACAATGTCTCATTCATATGTCTGTCTCGCAACACAAACAAATTAAAACATTTTTAGACAAGCCACGCACGGCTTCCAAGCAAAATCTGAATATTTCGTTTAACTGGAGGAATCCGATGAAGCTTCGTCACAGATGTCCAGTTAGAGCTACCTGTTCCAGACGCACGCCGCTACCTCTGCTACGTTCGCCTTTCAGTTCGTTCCAGCCATCGCCGTATGCTTAAGCTCCCGCAGGAGAAAAATAATTCCTCGTTTAAAAAACAAAGTGATATCGTACGGCAGTTTCTCACACTTTTTTTTTGTTTGGCCCGCGAACCGCTCAGCGGATGCAAACATTTCCACGGACCACCCAGTACCACCGCCCCCCCCCCACCTACGGTGAGAAGATGCATTCACTTCTCTCTCTAAATACCAGGTACACAAAATTATTAATGTTACCGGAACATAAAAAATATATATATAAAACAAAAACGCAGCTATAAGTGTTTTTGTTAGCTCTTAGGGGTTAGGATAGTAGGGTTAAACTTAAGCAAACGTAATTTTTTAATTGAACATCATCGGTGAAATGTCAATTCATATCCGAAACAAAAAAAAAGAGGGGCGTGCAAACGTCGTCGTGATTTCCGCATCAAACTGCGTGCGCATCAGCGGCTCCCGCGGTCCACCTGCAGGGACCGAACCACGACTTTGCGAGCCACCGCCGTACGCCCCAGACGCGGCGACGAGCTCCAACCTGACGCGACACTCGTTTACACAGAGCGAGGCCTTCCCGACAAAAACCAGAAAAACAATAAAAGGACTAAATTTCGATTTAAAGCTTTCGTGACTGCAGGGATTCATATTCTTGGTTCTTTCGGTAAAGTCACATAGAGGAGAAATGATAAAAGAATAAAATAAAATATAATAAAATAATATAAGAAAAAATATAATATAATAATATAATTTTATGATGTTAAATTTATTTTATTTTATTATTTCCCTTCTACGTGACTTTACCGAAAGAACCAAGAAGAATAAAAGGACTCTTCCTTGGTGAGTACGAACGCCGCACGCGAGGCTCCAGACCCAGAACGACGGCACTCCCCGGTCGACACGACACGCGAGTTCTGGCGCACGTGAACCCCAGCATTTAGCGACGCTTCACTCCACGCAGGCTGCCGCACGAGACGCCGTGCCGAGACGAAAAGGACAGCTTTCGTTGTTTCGTGCAGCGATCGCTGCGAGGCTTCACTCGTTCTTGGGAGTTCGCGTTTTTGGCTGCACGTGCCGGTGTTGTCCTTGGCACTCGCCAGCAAACAGATACAATCGTTGCGGTAATTATGCCAGAAGCACACTATCCAATTAAAATAGTGGCATGCATTTATTTTGTTATTGTTGTTGTTAGTCTTGATTTGAAGCTGTCGTGACTGCAGGAATCCGTGCGCTTTGGTTCTTTCGGTAAAGTCACGTAGGTAGAGAAATTAAACAAAATAAAAATAATATATCACGACGTTTCGATCGCAACACAAGCGGTCGTCCTCGGGCGGAAAAAATAATCGAGCAGATTATTAATAATCCAGCAGTGGAACTGCTGAACCGGCTGGATTATTTGTTCCGCCTGAGGACGACCGCTTGTGATGCGATCTAAACGTAGTGATCTATTTTTATTTTGGTTTATTTTTCTACCTACGTGACTTTACCGAAAGAACAAAAGAGTATGTTGTTGTTAGTGTTTGTCATCATTATGATTGAGAGAAAAAAATCCGCACGTATTTCGCTCGCAAGAATATAGCTCGGCAGGTCTATATATGACCGTTTTAATTGGCCAAATTCAAATCAACAAAGGTTTTTACGACAGCTGAGAGAACAGCAATTACTTCATCGGCACACAGTGTCAATTTAAATGTCTAATTTACGGTGCACTGTTTTTAGACAATGGCATTCCAGGAATCTATCCATGTTAGGCAAGTGGTGGCTCAATCCTAGGAGCTTCTATTTTTCCCCTCTCCGTTTTTTTCCCTCCCCACTCTCTAAATATACTCCACTCGCCGCCACGGCGGCACCCCGACGCTCGATCACTCCCCACGTCTCGCACGTGCTTGCCCATTGTTCTGTGCGAGCCAGCAATGAGTCACACGGAAACGCGCGCGCGCACAACACAAAGATCTCCGTGATAGCCTTACCGGCAAATGCCGTTAACGAGCAGCATCTATGAAGGCCGGCACGGCACACGATGGGGTGGGGTGGCCAGCACCATGCCCGACCGCCTTTGTCTCCCCAGTGGCGACGTTTACACATCGCACCGGGTACTCATTTGAGGCTGAATCGAACGAGGGCGACGAGACCCAGGGACCGGTTCTAGATAATCGTCACTGGTGTTGGCCATGAGCGGGAATCGAACCTGGGTCGACAGGTTCGTAGCGCAGCGCGCTAACCACTACGACACACACACAGCCACCTCCACATGAACGCTTGCGGTGATCCTCGCAAGCAGTGGCTCTTGGATAACCATCGAACAAAGACGGCCACCGCATCGCACGCTTTAGTAATGCTCTTCTGCATCGGTCTGGAACGCTTTTCATTCCGATATTAGGAAGCTACTGGAGCTATGCACGTATACATCATTTATATTGCAAAGTCATTTCTTTAAAACTGCTTTTTGTGTTTAATTCGTCATTTCCCCGCACCTCCGATTAGCACGATTGGCTACGTACGGTGCGAAAGAAGTTTAACACACATACATTAAAATAGAGGTTTTTTTTTAATACACACAATGGACAGGAAGGACAAGATCAAAGGCCGCATGCATAATGTGCGTTGACTCATTAACCCCCCCCCCCACTTTGCGCAAGAGCGCAGAAGTGTGGTCACCACATCTACGCCTCCACGTAAGGAACGAAACAGGTGGACTTCTCCACAAATCCGGCTGTCGCCAGATGAAGCTATTTGTAATTACTGGCAAAACGTCGTACTCGGATTGTAAATGTTGTGGCTTGGCTCTCCAACACACCGGTTAGTGCTGTACTAGTGACGAATTGGCCACGTTCTGTTTACGTGACAACCCTTACTAGTTGGCTGTGTCGGGTGGCGGCGGGTTTTAACGACACATTTATATATTTACGCAATCTAACCAAAAAACCCCCTCTATTATGTATACATTAAAATGCATATCTATGCAGGTTCTCTGCTGTAGTGACCGTTGCTGTCGAGTGTGCAGGTTTTGCAACCCCGGCTCCTTGCCATACTTACACGTGTCACGTTCAGTGGCAGCTCAGGATTTCAGTTGTGCTCGAGTTGGGCTCTCCAGTCTTAATAATGATGATAATAATGGTGATGATGATAATGGTGATAATGATGATGATGGTGATAATGATGATAATACTGGTGATAATGATGACGATAATAATGGTGATAATGGTGATGCAATTCATGATGCGCACGATATGTCATGGACATCAATGACCATGACGCCAAGGCACGGAGCCACGCTCACAATGTCAGTGTCACTCGAGAGCCGGGTGAGAAGCGGTGGGGCCATTAAGCGTCTCTTAAAAATAAACGTGTGTCTTAGCTGACACATTCAATGGCTCAGCTGAATAACAGCAATTGTACATGGCAGTGGCTTCATTTGGTCTTTGCCCAAGCACTAGTTGCATAGCTAGAGAGTGTGCAGGCGGTGCAACCGCGTCGGGGCCCATGGGACGGGGCGGGCCCAGGTGCTGGGCTTCGAAGTGTGGGGGGGGAAATTTTGACAGGGGGATCTCCATTCCACACGCTGCACTCGGGTTCCGTTTTAGTTTTCTAGAAGGGGCAGTATGATGCATCGGTTCACGGGTTCATATCAATTCTTAATCTCACAATAAACAGATCAAATCGTGTGTAACAAAATAGTTTTTTTTATATTCTCATACGTCGCAAATAAAGGATTCACAACATATTTTCTGATAACACGATATTGCAATGAAAAAAAAAGTCTATTCTTGAATTGAATCACGTACACGATGTTGGCAATTCACAAAATTGCTCCACCGCTACATCACAGACTAGTTTTGCGGATGCTGTTAGTGAGCACCTACCAAAGGCCAGCAAGACAGACACGATGTTGGAGTGACCAGCACCACGCCCGACCACCGCGGACTTCTACACACTGCTCCAGGTAAAGTACCGTGCTCGTTGATGGCTACATTTACCAAAGAAAGGTCCAGGCTAGGTTCAGATTGAGCATGCTTGGGAAACAACCTCAAGTCACCAGTATCACCGCAAGATAGAACACAATACACCGGGCTTCTACACACGTTGATCTCCTGCTCCCTCCTCCATCCTCCTTCTCTACCTCCCCTTGCACTAAAAACATAAACTTGGTCCTATAGCACCACTGGTCCAAATGGCCTCGTACAAACGTACACACACAAAATCAAAACAATTTCATATCGATGGGACCCTTTTTGCCACTGGTGAAACAAAGCAATAAACAGAGGCTGTCTTTGGACTAGGCCAATCCGTTTCGAGGACAATGCATGCATTATCAAAGCATATTTGTTTGCATGTTTCACCACAAGTATGTGTGGTTAATGCAGACGTGATGCCTTGTGTCTATTTGGTCTTTTAACATCTTTACACCGATGGTTATGCCAGAAAGCGAAAAGCCCTTTTTTATTAACAATTTTATTTTTACCGCGAGCTATTCTTCAGATGTGATCTGGTCACACTGGAGAGCTCACCGAAATGGCTTAGATCATCATACGTGGGAATTTATAGTCGCAGCGAAATAACCTGAGCGCGTGTTGTTTATAAATGTGGAGGGAAAAACCGGAGGAACCCCCGGAGAAAAATCCACGTGACCACCACGCCAAATATACAACGGGTGTCATGAGGGTCAGGGATTGATCGCATGAAGCTGTTGCATACCAGGCGAGCGAGTTCGCATCTCGATATTGGTATACGCTAATGATACCCTGGTATGGGATTGTCAGCCGATGCCAGCATGCCAATTGTGTCCATCGTGTGTGCCAATTGTATATCAGCCTCGGAGAGCTGCGTCGTCTGGTGCAGTCACACTGGCCCAAACGAACTCATGTCAAGAGTACACCAATTGGACACTGATTCTACACTAATTGTGGAAGTACCTCAGTTAGATTTTAACCGTCCGCTTTGTTGAGATTTGGAAATTAGTTCGTAAATACTCTGAGAGACCCTTCTCAATTGCCAGTCTTTTAGCTATCTGCTGGACGTACATTTAATAAAGCACGATCCGTGCTGTGATCGTAAACGTGAGCCAAAATGTTTTTGCTTTGTTTCCAGCAAATCTGTACCCAAGCCCGCAGCTGTGAACTGTGAAGAAGAAAACGACCCCAGCCACATTTGGTTCCAAAACATCACGTGGTGTCGGCTAATCCGAAAGTGTCTGCCTCTCTGGTATTTGCAGGCGGCAAATGTTTCACCTGCTGATGACGTGGCAAAACCTGTGACCCGACGAGATGACAGTGCTCGAACATCGATCGGAAACAGCGGCCAAAATACGTACCCTGAGGCCAGCGGCACCGGGACTTCCCGGTTCTCCTCTTTGTCCGAGCTCCCCCTAAAAGGAAACAGAAGAAGAACGTCCGTTTGAATTCACACGACGAGCCACGCCGCTCCGACGTACAAAAGCAGCCCGCGCAGAAGACCGACGGTGGTCATTCAGCTCGCAACTCGACAAGACCTTTGCATCCATGAATCTCGCCCATCAAAATTGCGACGTGTCTGCTGGCAGCTTCGTTGCATTACGCAGTTTTTCTTCTCAGGCGTTGGACAATTTTAAAAACAGCCACATGGCGATCGGGAGGTGGCCCTGATTACTGTCGTGCGAGGGTGTGGAGTTAATGCGAACCTCCTGCTAACCGGGGCCAGGTGCCGTCAATAGGAACTGGGCGGCCCTGTGTCACAATCCCATCGCACGACGCTGCAATGTATGTATGTGTGTGTATGTACGTACGTTGTGTGAAGCGGTAGAGTAAGCGGTTCGCTCGCTGCTCTAGGAACCCCGGGGACCCCAGTTTCAATTCCCGCTCACGGCCAACACCAGTGACGATTATCTGAACCGGTCCTGGGCCTCTTCCCCCTAGGTCGACTCAGCCTCAAATGAGTGGTGCTGGTCACCCACTCTCTCCTGTGCCATGCCGGCCTTCATAGGTGCTCGCTAACAGCTCTTGCCCCAACTGTTAAGGCTATACAGGGGATCTGGGTCTTTTCGTATGTATGTTGAACTTCTTCTGCACCGTACGTAGCCAACCGTGCTAATCGGAGGTGTGGCGGAAGGACAACAAACTAAACACTAAAAGCAGCTATAAAGAAGTTAGCAAATGGCTGTCTCGTCGCTGCATGAAGCTGCGACGGTGAATCACTTTACTACTTGTACGAAGCCACGGTGAGATTTTCACCGCACAGCCCCCCCGTCCCGGCCTCGTACCGCCCGTTAAATTCCGACGTGCAAACGCAAAAGCATGACGCACGCTTTCAAGTCGAAGGTTCGCGCGGACACGAGTTAAAAGCGGGGGGGGGGGGGGGGGGGGGGGGCGTCCCATGCGGTCTCATGGACCGTGGGGTGGCGAGGGCCAGCAGTGAAGCCACGCGTCGGAAGCCAGCGATGTCCCACGTGCGGAATGCTTCCCCCCGTTTGGTTCGACGGCAGGTGGGCGTGCGTCCGCGACGTACGGCCCCGTAGATTTGAACCTGGCGACAGATCCAAATCTACGCAACTGCCGGCCCGCCGACTCGGTGCTGAGCCTACTGCAGTTTGTGCGCGACTGTGCCGTGTAGAGGTTCCGTTGTCACAGCACAAACAGCGAATGTTGATGAGTGTGCAGAGATGAGGACGACAAAAATGCCACGATTTCTGTCCAAAATGTTGTGGGCGGCTATCTCTTGGCCCACACTTCATATTTTTGGAGGCGTCCGGACTACCCACGGCACCCGCAGGTCACTGCGGCCCTCAGAAGCGGAGTGAGCAAGCACCGACTACGGCCGGCAGTGTCCGTCCAGTGCTCGTCGAGCTGCATTGGCTTCTGGTTGCCGAACGAATACATCGTTGAGGTCGCAACTCGGTACACACAAAGTGCCTGCCACAAATGAACCGCGATGCAATGCCGATCTCATCGAGGAGCAGAAACCATCACGCGAGATCCGGTCATCCTCGCAGTCGCTTTTTGCTGACCATCGAACAAAGATGGTTACTGGATCGCACACTTTCAGATGCGCTTCTGCGGCCGTCTGGAACGCGCTTCCTTCCGATATTATGAAGCCATTGGAACAATGCACTTTTAAATCATCTAGATTGAAAAACGAATTTCTACTTTTTGTGTTTAGTTTGTTGTCCTGGCCCCACACCTTCGATTAGCAAGTTTGGCTACGTATGGTGCGAAAGAAGTTCAACATACAATCATACATACTGACGTGGCGGAAGACGGGCTGGTGTTGCCACCACCACAACCGGGCAAATTTGCTGATTTTTTTTTTGTCTTCTCGACAGACCTGTTCTTCACCTGAGGACGGCTGTTTGCGTTGTGGCCGAAACGTCGTGAGAATTATTTTATTATGTTTTATTTTTATTATTTTATTATTTCCATTCTACATGACTTTACCGAAAGAACCAAGAAGATAAATTTGCTGATGTTTACACTCCGGGTACTCATGTAAGTCTATGTCAACCTAGTGGGGCCCAGAAGAGGTCCTGACACCACTCGCCACTGATGTTAGCCATGGCTGGGTAGAGAGCTGAGGTCGCGCGCTGCGGAAATCAATGCAGCACCCACAAAACAGACACGTCTACATGTAAATATGCACACGTATTACTATGATAAATGGTTTGAGAATGGAATTTACAGTCTTGAGAATGACTTCATTAATATATATAAAGTAAATGGAATATTCAGTTATAGTCATATGAGCCTATATTTTCTTACGCAATTCAGTTTTTGTTTTAACACGTAAAACCATTTACGTGGGAGCGGTGGTGCAGCGGTTCGCTCAACCCGAGTGACCTGAGGTCAATTCCCACCTGCGGTTGACCAGCCCGCACTGACCAGCGTGGTGCGGCATGGTCAAGCAACACCCGTAACCAACACGGCGCAGGGAGGCCCTTATTAAGCACTGAACTGACAAAGGGCCGAACGTTATTAAACGTCTGTATTCGTACTGTTGCCGCCAACGTGCTTACAGATGTCCTGAGAATTTAGTGCGGCGCACGGGAAACACGTGTGCGCATTTTTCGTAAGTGAAAAAAGAAACACACACACATCACTGCCTTCTCACCACCACCGCTGGTCACCTCCACCACCTATTCATATCCGCTGCTACAGACGAACCGGTGATCAAAGGGCCAACGCATCCATCCTTCATCGGCTTCACGGTACAAGTCAGAAGCCCGCGCCGCGTGCTGTTCTCGCCCACGCGAACGCGCGTGCGCATCGGGCGTTGAAATTCGGTGGCGGGCCAAGGACAATTCGAAGCGAGCGCCGTGCCGCCGTAGCTTTGCCGGACGACCGTTCCCGGGGACTGCGGGAGCTCTCCGATTGGCACGGTTGGCTACGTACGGTGCGAACGAAGTTCAAAGTGCGTACGTGCGTACACACGCACGGCCCTCCGTTCACATCGGCGACGATGCTTCCCGCAGCCAATCATCCCAAGCCACGGCGACCGTTCAATCTGCATAGGAGCCCCGCTGTGCGATGGGCTAAGCTTAAAACATCGCTCTAATAATTGCTTCCAGCCGCGATGGTTCTTTCCATTCTTTCTGACGCAAAATTGCCGGCGTACAGTACGCAAAGGCGAGTTGCTGTGGTTGTCAGCTCGTTTGGTTGGGGCTCGCCGAGTAGACATTATTTTTGGGTGCGTCATCATCAGCAGCAGCAATGGTCATGGCCTCTCCACTGCTGGATGAAGGCTTTTCCAAGCCACGATCCTGAGATGGAATAAACTTCCTCTTATTTTACTTTATATAGGCTTATGTGAAGCACAATCTTGGTGTTCAACTTCCTTCGCATCATACGTAGCCAAATGCGCTAATCGGAGGTGCGGGGAAAGGACGTGCAACCATGGGGAAAACATGCAAACTCCAAATATACAGGCGTATATGTAAACTCCACGCAACCACGGAAAGAACATGCAAAATTAGGGTCAGGATTTAACCCACGACTTAACGTATACCAGGCGAGGTCGTTAACATCTCGCCACCTGCGCACAACATGATTCTATCGCTCCATCTCCCCGGCGGACGTCCAACTCGGATGCATTCCATTCCTCGGCTGCCACTCCGTTGTTATTATTCTTGACTAACGTCACTACAAGCATTACACGCGGGTTAAGTGAGGTAACTTAATCATATCGTGGTTGTGTACCGGACTGATTATGAAGAAAATCTTTTTTTTAACAGCGTAATCAGAATGATGGGCTATTTTTGTTTTTTTAACGACATGGGTTCAAGCTGATATTTGGTGCTCATCTGCTTAAAAAAAAATATGAACTACTTTGAGGTCATAATCAACGTTTTTGGGTTTAGATCGCGTTATTTATAAATGTGTCGTAACCCTCCACCACCCGACACGGCCAATCAGTAAAAAAGTGTCACGTTGACAAAAGACAAATATTTCACTACTTTAGCCCACCGTTGTGTTAAAGCGTGAAACCACAACATTTACCATTTTTGAGTACGACGTTTCGCTGGTAATTGCATCCAGCATCATCGGGCAATTCGCCAGAATGGTGAGAGGCTCTGCTCTGGCTCCCGTTCTTATATAGAGCAGCAGCAGGGTGACGTCATCATCAACTCATCAGGTTGCAACGATTTGAGGAGGGGTTATTGTAATTATATACTAGATTAGTAATCAGGCAGTTGTTCCGATGCGAGTTGGGGAATAAAAAAACATTTCAGAGGATTAATATTCTTGGTTCTTTCGGTAAAGTCACATAGAAGGGAAACAATAAAATAAAAAAAATATGAAACATATTTTATTGTTTCCCTTCTACGTGACTTTACCGAAAGAACCAAGAAGATGAATCCCTGCAGTCACGAAAGCTTTAAATCGAAATATAAAAGTAACCTATTTTTATTTTACCAGGTAAGGCCCACTGGGCAATATAGCTCTTGTTCAGAAGCAGTCTGGCCACATGTGATGATAGCTCAACGAAGCAAGTGGCTTAACATTTGGAAAATGACAGCAGCCGAATACAAAGCTAGTTTGAAAAGATAAGATTTCAGAAGTTTACGAAAGATGTTTGAAAATTTCTCGGCACGCAGTGCGCTGGGAAGTGAGTTCCAAGCCGAAAGGCCCAGTACGATATATATAGCATACTTAAAAAAAAGATTATTCTAAGTGAGCTCGTATTGTTTTCTATGAGTTTATTGATGATCTAAGAGCATCAACTGACCTTTTCGCCTGCTTTGCCATCTCTCCCAGGCAGACCGGTTGGTCCCAAGGCTCCCTACAGCAACAAAGACAAAGAAAAAAACCCATAATAGACAGAAGACCAACACAAAGCAACACATGTAACTTTGATGTGGTCAGAGACAGCAGCAGCGAGCCCCGTTAGTATAAGGTGTCTTATCGTGGAGATCACCAAGCCTCTTTTGCCCCGCTAAGAACTGAAATAGGAATGAAAGGAGAGTGGGAAGTGAACCACTCCACTGAGATCATGGACTCAGATACAGGGGTTCGGCCACCCATGATCATTAATTCACGTTCTCATGCATAACGTCCACTGTGGTGGAATGCTATTGAGAATATAAAAGACATACGGACAATATTCAACACGATTTGGGGGCGGTTCTTAAAGCTTCTAAAAACATTCAAACTAACAAAAATGTTATTTCTATTTCTGCATATTGTTCCGACGATGTCTGACGTAGTTTAAAATGAACCATTGCACGTAATTCGTAAAATTGGTTGAGAGAATTGTTTCTCAACTTTATTGGGGAAATAACGCAACAATAATTGGCGCATTAACCAAGTGATAATTAATTTGTTTTCCTATATCAGGTGGTGGAAGGTCTTAACACCACACATTTGGTCAGATAATGACATGGACTGACCCAAAAAAATCAAGCATAAATTAAAACAAGGCTTGGGTTTTCATTTAATAAATAGCACATTTAATAAATAGGTTCTAAAGTGTAAAGAGATTATTGTTTAAGCCTGGTTACTAATGACCGCACAAAAGACCCATCGTTACATCTTTCTCGTAACTTCGTTTAATACATTCTATGATGAAAATTCAATAACAGCGTTCACGTGTTTTACTGCCATAGCAGAGTGCATGGGTAAATGCAGCATGCTTAGAGTGGATCAGAGGTCACATGAAAGGAAACTTAAAAGTAGTCCTGGGATATCACCTTCCGCAAGCCATTATCTAAAACAGGGCCATGCAATGTTCTGCAATAGTTCTAAATGTATGCGACACATTTATATTTACACGTTCTAACAAAAAAAAACCCTCTATTATGGATAATGTATGCTTTGTCACGTGACATGACATTGATAGTGCGACTGGTATCATGTTGGAATTTTCTTTTTTTAAGCCACACATGAAATGGGAATGTTCCACACACGGGGCAGCATTTTAACAGTGCTTACCTTGGCGCCTCTTTCCCCCCTTGCACCGGCAAGTCCTGGCTGGCCTGTGTCTCCCTAGCAGAGCGAGCAGCAGCAGCAGCAGCACAAGTCAATCAGGGCGCTCACAGAGCGTTAGCATGCCGTTCACAGAATTATTCAGCAAAACACATTCTTGAGGCAAAACAAAAAGAAAAACCCAGCCAACTTTATTCATTTTCGCACCCCTGCCGAGTTCCTTTGTGCCGTGTTAAATATTCCACAATTTCCTTGTGTTTTGTGGAGATTATAATGGATATTAGTGTGCCTCTGACTTTTGCTTGCCACAATCAATGAGCTCCAATGCGCACGTTTAAGACCTCTGGCGTCGTCTCGCGACCGTCATGCACGAGGGCATGCATCGAATCGGCCGCACGCTTGAAAGTTGTTTTAAAAACGTGCGTGTGCCATCGTTCTTGTGACGAAAGGATAATCCTACTCTGTGTTATTCGTGACATTTTCTAAAAAAAAAAAATTTCGCCCAACCGAGCATGAGTTTGGCCTCATCCTCTATTAATAACATCAAGCCAGTGTTGGAAAATTCCACATTCCCAAAGCAGGGTGGGGTGGGGGGGCAGTCTTTCCAAGAGAAAAATGCTGTTGACTTGCCCCCCCCAAAGTAAAATGTAAAAAAAAAGCAAAGGTGAAAAACCTGTAATTGCTTCCACTGCTGGCAAAAGGGCCCCCACCAGAGACAGCTTTTGAGGGCTCTTCTCGAGATTATCTCAGGATAACTGTGGGAGTACCTCCACTTTACTCCACTCAATGCGACCTTCCGATTGACAGTGCAGCACCTACTTAAACTGCTGCCTGGGCAAGAAGCGCGGGGATTCAGGAAAGCTTTACCAGAGGCATCTGGACATCGATTCCGGTGCGCTAACCATTACAGAAACTCCTCAGAAAAATGGCGCTTCGCCATTCGTCCGCGACAAAGGGAGGCACGTGACGAACTTTACGGCAAAGCATTCTTAGGTTTTTCGGTAAAGTCACGTAGGTAAAAATACAAATTTATAAAAGTAAAATAAAAATAAAATAAAAATCACGACGTTTCGGAGGCAACACAAGCTTCCGTCTTCAGGTGGAACCGTCACAGCACGATAGCTGTATCAAGTGAGAGAAATTCCAAGAAACAGTATTTGTATATATACTGGTTGAGGGTGGGAGGAGCCAAGGTAGTCCCTGGATATTATTTGTGTGAGGTTCGGTGCGGCTGAAGCACTTTTATTAATTTTAATATTTTACCTACGTGACTTTACCTAAAAACCTAAGACTATGAATCCTTGCAGAAACGAAAGTTTCAAATCTAGAATTTACAGCAAAGGTGGCGGTGAGGTGGGCTCGAATAGACGTGAGTGATTGACGCCCCCGCCACATAATCAGCCCAACAGCTGAACTTGTAAAACTCGAAGGGTGTGAGAACGGCTGTGTGCTCGTTTAAAAAAAGATGCTCTGTAATTCCATCAAGGATCAGCATCTCTCGAGCGAACCCCGAAATAAAGGTTGGCCTTCTGATCCCTCAGTTGTAAAGGCAGCCCATCCACAATGCATACCAAGCATACGTACATTCTTTCAAGAATGAAGAACTGTTAGTCTATTGTTTCCTTGAAAGTGAGTTTAGCTCTTAAGTCTAAGAGTATTTTCCATTCACCTTATTTTTATATATAATAAACAAGGAAACGTTAAATACTAAAGTAAATTTTTGATGCCAAAGGATTTTGAAAGCTATCACCAACATTCACACAGCTGCGCGTTTTAATATTCTCATGCCAGTAATGGTACAAGCGAAGCTCTGTGAATTGCTGGCATCTAATATAAAGACTTAATGAATATAGGTCTGTTTAATTTTACGTATTATATGTTATATATCCGTTGTGAGTGACTGATGTTAATTCTACTTAGCTTCTCGAAGGGCTAAAAAGCTGCCATTTTTCTGAATGGATAGTTGTGTTTATTCCTTTAACTGGAAAAATCCCCCCAAAAATAGAACTTTGTTTGGATTAAAATTGGAATTTTTTCACTTTTGAACCAGGGCCTTTGCAAGTTGGTATGCACGTATGTTGAACTTCTTTCGCACCGTACGTAGGCAACCGTGCGCATCGAAGGGGCGTGAAATCGGAGGCAGAGATGTTGAGAGGCGCTACATTCAAATATGTAAATATTTTCAAAAACTAAATTCTTAAATCGTTTCGATGTAAAGCTTTCGTGACTGCGTGGATTCATATTCTTGGTTCTTTTTATGAGTGCGATACTTAAAAAACAACAACAAAAGGGTGAAAGCCTCTCATGTTACCCAGCAGCAGAGGTGCATCCCTGACATTACATACTCATGCCACTGCTGGCAGAAGGACCTCTACTACAGAGGGGGCCCTAGAGAGCCCGCTAGAGAGTGTGTGGCTACTCTTCCATGCAGGCCAGATGTCTTGGAAGAGATGGTAGTGCCCATTGTTAAGCCAACGACACGCGACTCACACATGTAAACACGAATTAATTGTCCAATGACACGTATGTATGTTGAACTTCTTTCGCACCATACGTAGCCAACCGCGCTTTATCGGAGGTGCGGGTGAAGGACAATGAAGTTAACAAAAAAAGCAGTTGGAAAATAACTAACTTTTCAATGTAGATTTAAAAGTGCATTGCTCCAGTGGCTTCCCAATATCGGAAGGAAGAGTGTTCCAGACGGCCGCAAAGCGCATCTGAAAGCACGCCATGCGGTGACCGCCTTTGTTCGTAATATACAGCGGAGGGCAGAGCTTGTGGAGGAATGTGGGTGCCGGCTAACCGCGTGGCTGCCTTGCTCACTTGTCGGTGGTTCCTCCTAGCACCTGAGTCATTCTTTCTCCGTAAAACTGCTTTTGTGTTTAGTTTGTTGTCCTTCCCCCGCACCTCCAATTAGCACGGTTGGCTACGCACGGCGCCAAAGAAGTTCAACGTGCACACGTACATTAGAGAGCACGCGAATACCGCGTTGCAAGTTGAATTTTTTTTTTCACTCTTGAAAACAAACAACAATCTTACCTTTTGTCCCATTTCACCTTTGGCGCTTATGACTCTGCCCTTTAATGAAAAAAAAACACGCAAATATGAGTAAAGCGGTTGCTCTATGCCAGGAGCTGTCATAAAAAAATTGCATGCGTGCAAATAAATAATCGCCAAAGCCACTGGAACCTTCTAAGTTTTAACGTTGCATAAAATATTTTAAATGAAGACCATAAAATTGAGGCCAGCACTAAAAATAAAACCCCGTGTTTATAAAAATGGCTGCACCTGAATAAACGAAAGGTGTAATGGGCAACAGTGGCAGATAGTTTGATATTTTATATGGCCCATGCAAACCAATATATGCACACACAAAGAAGCGATATAAACACAAATTATATTGGCAATGATATATTCTTAACAAGTGCATTTACAATTACAAGTGTTTACTGGCACTGTGAAACCACTTACTCTATAGATGCCTATGACTCTTCCAACTAACACATTTTAAGAACACTTTTTTTTTTCTTCCCACAATACAATTTTATGGTTAGAAACATATAAGGGCTGGGACATTACAAGCATGGAAGATATTCTTATTTATCACATTAACCTTAACATCGATGTATTTTTTTGAGCTTATTAAAAGTTTAACATTTGCTTGCTGCAATCCTTTGTTCATAATAATAATAAACAATTTACAGCCTTTCATCAGACCACTGCCGGATGAAAGCCTCCCCTCGCCGTGTCGGTAATGGGAGTAGGCTGAGTGTGCGTCGCCACGCTGATCAGCTCAGGATGTAAAGGAGGGGGAGAGCTAGCAACGGATCAGACATCGCTTGCCGCTGATATTTAGCCAAGGCCGGGGTTCGAACAAAGGAGGCCGTATTCATAGCGCAGTGTGCTAACCACTGCCCCACCCCTCTCCCATTATTATCAATTATTGTTACCGTAACGTTTTACATTTTTTATTTTTTCTACAAAAAGTTAAATACTCTTTGGTTCTTTCGGTAATGTCACATACGTGAAGAAAATAATAATAATAATAATCAATAAAATAAATAAATGTAATCACGACGTTTCATCGTGATTTTTCACCTCCGTGACTTTACCGAAAGAACCAAAGAGTATGGATCCTTGCAGTCACGAAAACTTCAAATCTAGAAAAAAAAAGTTAAATGTTCGCATCGATCCATTGTCAAAAAATGTGCAGGCTGCAGCAGCCTTCAGGAATCAGCACAGGGGAGATCAGACCTGTGCAGAGGAAGGTTATTCAACGCGTTGCTTATTCAGTTAGGCACGGCAGGGGTTGTCGCGAGCTATCGATGCTCTGACATATCGTGCAATGTAAGGTCCAAGATATTTACGTCGTCCGTTGAGCTGGATACCGTCAGATGGCAATCATCTTTGCTCGTGTTATTTTTCTTGAAAAAAATATTTTCTCGAGAAATAACAAGACTCAATTAAAGATTTAAATAAACGGAGTATTATTCAATAATGACTGCTTTGCAAAATGCTTCTCGGAGTTCTTGACGGCATGGCGATTATATATCATTATTTTCTGAGTGCATAGAAGTATTTGATTCCTTTATTGTTAGGGTAGCATTTTGGTGACAGATTGTAATGATAAGAATGCTTACAGGAGGCGAAGGTTAAGCGAACAGCCATTGAGCGTTAACGTAATATTCATACTCCTTGGGTCTTTCCGTAAAGTCAAGTAGACAGAAGAATAATAATAAAATTATAAAAAAATCACGACGTTTCGATCGCAACACAAATGAAAAAATACAGCAGGCGGACTGCCTGTAATATTCATTCGTACCATGACGACAGGAAAGCGCAACAACAAATACACTAAACAATTGCAGTAAAATGATAGAGCTATGGGAAACTGATATGACAAATTTGATGTCATATCGTCGAAGGTTATTTTGCGGCAACTGTACGCGCGACCCGATGAAATGCCTCTACCCCCCCTCCCCCCCACAGTTTGTGCCCTTGTCTTCAACTGAGATGCGTAGCAGCACCCTTACCGCTTCCCCTTTCTCTCCCTTGATGCCAAGGAGCCCAGCAGGGCCAGGTGCTCCAGTGCCCCCCTGTGTGGAAAAAAAAAAGACGGAGCAAGAAGACAAAAGTGTCACATTGATCCAGCAGTCGCTCTGGTCCATCCCACCGATGAGATTGGGCCAACGTGTTGCGACCCGTCCTGGCTTTTTATCCCGGGACATCCTCCCTTTGAGTTTAGGTGTCCCGGGAAATGAGGAAAACGTGCAAGCTTGCACTGTTTTTTTCTGTCAGTTGCGCAAATAACACACCGCTCGGGACAATGCATTTACACGAAGTTCACCCCTCTACCACTTTTGCGCGACATTCCTTCTTCCCACAATATGCCCCGGTTTTTGTTGTTGCTGTTGTAGCTAAGATGCTGCAAGCGTAGTTTCAAACGCAGCTAGGACAGAAGAGGAATTGAATTCTCCCGCACGCACAGAATCTGATAGAGTGACGGGTGAGGAGGTGCGTATTTTTAGCTCGTTCAAGGAAAACAGGGTTGTTAAAATAACAAAAAAGGATCTCGCCCTCAAACACAGCATGGGCACAACATGCACATTCCATCTGCAAGCAATTAAGCGGCAGAGTAGACGGTAGCCGCTGGACTGCTCTGCTGCTGCTGCTGCTAAGTTTCAAACAACACGCAACAATGTGTAAAAATCACACAGCCCCTGTGGATCACGCATTTAGCACAGCCTCTGTGCATTATGCGGAGAGGCTGCAGCTACGTTCATTTTGACGGCAACCTAAGACGAGAGGGGCCACAATGCACTTCTTTAGGAATATCCGGATGGTTTGCTCATACGCACAATGGCTGTGCGGTCTTCACACTTTTTGCGTATTGTTTGAAACTCATAGCATTCTGGCTTGCGTTGTTCTCCTGCAGTGAATGAGCTTTTCTCATCGCTTACAGAATTGACTTGCTGCTGCTGCTGCAGGTACAGTAGCTAAGCTAAGGATGTGGGGCGTGTTTTTTTTGCTGCCAAGTTTTACAAATATGAGAAGTAAAAACAACACACGCCCCGACTTACTTTTGGTCCGACGGGCCCTTGGAGACCGCCATCGCCTCGCTCGCCCTGAGCAAAGTGAAATGAAATTCCAAGCAGGTGTTAGGTATCGTTGCGAGACAAGGATCATTAATGCCCCCTTTTCCTGCTGGTAATGATAATAGGTCAGGCCATTATCGGGTTCCGTGGCGGCACGCGCACACGCACGCAAACTCAACTCGACAGCTGACGCTAGCGATCTGTGTGCGTGCTGTACCTCGGGTAACAAGTCAGTCGACAAATAACAAAAAAGTCACGGTCGTTCTTAAACAAACTACAAAACCCACTTAAAAAAAATCAACGAGTTTCGCTTTGGAAGCGGGCAAAAATAGTTAAACTTATCCCAGCCAAAACTGGCTCTGTATGCTATTCAAATGAGTGCAGTAAACTTGCCGTTGTTTAAAGAAAATAATTAAAGGTACGTACACACTTTGCTGTTAAAAACGGAATTGTGTACCGCTGTGGGTTTATTCTCTGCGTCTACAGCAGCGTCCTCGTCGCAGCAATCGTCGCCATCTGCAATTGGCTGGGATCCATCACATTTAGTTTATTTTGACTTGATGCTTATTCTGTCTTCTCAGCATTGGCCATGATCGATCAACTGCTGGGCGGATGCCTCTCAGAAGTGACCGCCACCTCACACGATCCTGCGAGGTAACGATCCGCCTGATTTCGATTTAAAGCTTTCGTGACAGCAGGGATTCATCTTCTTGGTTCTTTCAGTAAAGTCACGTAGAAGGGAAATAATAAAATAATAAAAATAAAACATAATAAAATAATTCTCACGACGTTTCGGCCACAACGCAAGCAGCCGTCCTCAGGTCTGTCGAGGCGACAGAGTCTGAAAGACGCTGTCTCCCCGACAGACCTGGTTTTCACCTGAGGACGGCTGCCTGCGTTGTGGCCGAAACGTCGTGAGAATTATTTTATTATGTTTTATTTTTATTATTTTATTATTTCCCTTCTACGTGACTTTACCGAAAGAACCAAGAAGATTATCCACCTGATTCTCTGAAACTCATTTCAAGAAGCATATGTTTTTTTTTAAAGGACGTATGCGAACTTCTAACCAGCCTATTGATTTAAAATAAAACTGCTATTTGAACGAGTGGCACTTATTCGAATAAATAAGTGAACTGGTAAGTTGGGAAATAAATATATATTTAGTAAAATGCTAATATTATTTATGTCACGACCATGTACTTACCTGTGTGTGGATGTACTGTAAATAGTAGTTAACACAGTAGTAATCATGTACTACTAAAAATGTAGAGCCCCGTGTCAATTGACTCCTAGATGAAGGCCTCTCTACTCCACGTGGAACATGGGGGTTGTTTGGGTGTTCGTCACCATGATGGTCAGTGCGGAGTTGGTGAAGCGATATAGTTTATTGTTATCATACACTGAATAAAAACAGTGGTTGGTATGGATTAAATAACATGGTGAAGAACACGAACCGGAATGAACAAAAACATTGGCCAGGTTCATATATCACTCGCCACCGATGCTGGCAGTGGCTGGCAATGTGACTCAGATCGCCGGGTTCATCGCGTGGTGCTGTGAACCACTGCACCTCCGCTCCCCCCACAGATGTACTGAACGTGTGTATATATATCATCATCATCAGCCATGATCAATCCACTGCAGGAGTATGGCTTTCCCAAGCCGTAGCCATGTCTCAACATCCCATCTGTCCATCTCCTCGGTAGTACACGTCTCACTCCTCGCCTTGTCCACATGCGTGTTCCAAATGCACACGGACATATATCAACGGTGTGACACGACGTGACAACATCCACTTAGCGGGCAAGGCGACTGCGTGAACGCGCGTTTACACGTTTGCACGCGTGCTTTGGCCGTTAGCCAAGCTGTGTGGTGGTGTCAGTCAGGCAGCGTAGGCCTGGCCACCGCAATGCGCACACAGCCATCCGGCGTGCGAAGGTGAAAGCCGTCGGTGCGACCCGCAGAGAGCAGCCTTTGATTACGGCCCCACGGCATGGAATTTCAGCGGCGGGCGGGAGTCTTTCTTTCGGAAACGCCACGGTAAATGTTTTTTGTTGTTGCCTTTTTCTTCTGCAGGGCGAAGGGTGGGATTGTTAGAAGTGCTCATAGCTTGAGGGGCGTTGGGGGGGCCGAGGGGGGGGGCAGCTTGCCTTGGTGCCGGGAGGGCCCGGTGGGCAGGAGCAGTTGACGGCCGTGATGACGTCCACGCCCTCGGCGGGTGTCGGCGCGACGGTTCTGTGGACTTGCGGCGTTAGAGTCGGCAGGAACTCGACTTCGGGGCCGCACTGCACGCACGGACGGCGGGACGACGTGTCAGCCCTCACGACGTCGTTGTTGTCGGTGGTGGTGCCGGTGGTGGTGGTGGTGGCGGTGGTGGTGGTGGCGGCGGTGATGCTGGTGCTCGCCCATATGAGGGTCGGGGGGTACTTTATGTGGAAATTATTTTTGGGTCCCTCTTCCTCTCTTTTTATGTTGAGACAAGAGGCTAGAGATTTAGCGAGATGATGACGATGCACGTGGAGAAAATAACGAGTAATGAGATGAGCGAAGAGGGCTGTGTGCAAAGAAATATCATTTTCCGTGTTATTTGCCTTTAACGTTTATTAGCGTCTCAATTCGAGCTGATATTTGTTGCACCCCTATTTTTTTCCACGAATCAGGGACCCCTTGAGCCACTTTGAGTTCTAAGCTTGTTGCTTAATTTGCTTGTGTTTAAGTATCACCACTTGGTTCACCGCTCCGCTCACACCCCCCAAAATCTACAGTAATCATTTGGGGTCTCAAATTTGAATCAAGAACACATTTTTTATTTATTGTCATCAGTTGTTAGTGTAGAGCGGTGGTTCTTACGTGGGATGCACTCACCCCCTAGGGGTGCGAGATGCCGTTTCTGGGGGTGCGAGAAACGGCCAGATTTTTTGTCCGAAGGTAAATCATCGAAAACACAAATTAAGAACGGGCACGTAAGTACAACTACTTTGTTGCATCAAACCCCCTATGTATTTATTGACATTGTACATTTTTTTTGTTACGATTGAGAACCAAAGGGGTGAAAGGCTGCAGTAAAGATTAAGAAACACTGGCGTAGAGTCTCTTCCCATAGTTGGTCCTTAGGGTAGATGGCAAGGGGCCCCCCGCGCTTTGGGGTGGGGGGCCCCGTAACGCTTCGACGTCACAGTATCAGATGTGGGATTCGCATCCCTCTATGGACAGCTCTGGCTATCATCATAATCATCAGCATTGATAAGTCCACTGCTGCATGAAAGCTGCAGCGTTTACACGAGCCGATTACACGAGGTTACAAAGCTCAAGTAATCCATTCTTAAAATGCACAATTCGATGCGTGCATTATGAAAAGAATAATGACTTTTAATAGATTATCTAATTCAGGGATCGATGTTGAATAACCAGTTCCACCACTGATAACTACCACCACAACCACCACCACCACAATAAGTGATGTCAAAGTAACTATCATAATCATAAATCATCGTCACCACGAGTAACTTAATTCACGGTGAAGGTATAACCCGAGCCTAATATCATTCAAGAGAGAGTATTCCTCTATTGATGATGACAACGACTATGCCCCTGCCATTATCCCATGCAGTGCGGTGAGGCGGGGGTGGGGCGTGATGGAATGCGTGTGAACGGTGAATGACTCCGGGGGAAGAAAAAAAAAATATCATCCACGACAATGGACATTGTGCGCCCCAGCGCTTTGGGAAAGCTGCGGGATGATCAGAGGGCGAGCGCGATTAATCGCAGCGGAACGGGCGAAGGTGTCCAGGGGTCTCCCGACCTGGCTTCCCGGCAGCTCGCAGCATGTCTCAGTCTCCACGAACTTGGGGTCACAGTAAATCACCATCTTCTGCAGGTCAAACTGCAGGTGGTGGAGGAAGGGGTGGGGGGTGGCAGACGGGCATACAGAAGCGATCGCACGTTTAGACAGACGGCGTAATGAGGAATAACAGTGTGTGTGTGTGGGGGGGGGGGGGTAATGGGGGGGGAGTTTATGACAACTGCCATAGCATTCAAATGATTACGGTATTCTCATTATTAATTAATTCTGTGCTTAGTTACAATGACTTGTGCACTCCTAACTGTATTATTCTCATAATACAATTTTAGTCATACTCAAAGAGTATGGATTCCTGCAGTCACGAAAGCTTCAAATAACATTTTTAGTCATAATACAATAATGTACATAACAAGCACGCATTAATTATTTCTCAGAAAATATATTTTTTTGTCCGGGGTGTCCTTCCCCCCCGAAGCTTCACGTCCCATCGCAGACCCCATTGTCTGGGGAGTGGGGTGGGTAAATATTTTCTGGAGCTCAGCACTTCATGCAAGTTATGATGCATATAGCTATCATTTTGTATTATGCGCTGTTTCGGAGTCATATAGACGATAAATAAACAAAGAAATGACTAGGCTCCCTCAAATTAAACGTACAAGGTCGAATCCAGTCCAGAGCCTTCCTGTTTTAAATCAAACGCTGCTGGATAACATCACTCCAGAAGACTGATGAACTAATCCTATATTTTGTATGTGGACAGACAAATGGAAGTCACTGATGTTTCTAAATATTTTCTTTTTAAATCCTTTATTAAATCCTTTATATTAAGTTCGCGTGCTTGCTTGCTTGCTTGCGTGCTTGCTTGCTTAGGACCGTGCAAATCTTTCTGTCGTTTTTTAACCCACTTCCCGTGATCCAATCGAGCTGACATTTTTCACACAGACTCGTTGTGCCAGACAATTAATGTTCGTGAAAGAAAATTCCCAAAATTTTACACTTTTTAGGCAAATTTTTTTTATTTTACATATATTCAAATAGAACTCATTCTTGGCTTTGGCTGAATGTCACAGTATAAGAGCCCAGAGCGTAACCCCTCCACAGGCCGTGGCGGAGTAGTGCAGTTGGTAGCGCCCTCGCTTCCCATGCCAAAGGTTGCGGGATCGATCCCCGCGTCCTCCACAGGCGAATATATTTTTAAATCCTTTATATTAAGTTCGCTGCCACGCATATAAAGGATTTATAGTGAAAAACTTTGTTTTTACGGGTTATACTTATTAAATCCTTTATATTAAGTTCGCTTGCTTGCTTGCTTGCGTGCTTGCGTGCTTGCTTGCTTGCTTACGACCGTGCAAATCTTTCGGTCGTTTTTTAACCCACTTCCCGTGATCCAATCGAGCTGACATTTTGCACACAGACTCGTTGTGCGAGACAATTAATGTTCGTGAAAATTTTTTTCCAAAATTTTACACTGTTTAGGGAAAACAAATTAAATATTTAATTACCAATTGCTTAATACTGGCAGACAATCATCTGACCCATAGGTGGCAGCCATCTCAAGCCAGAGGACGAGAGGACTCTAGCCGCCACGCATATAAAGGATTTATAGTGAAAAACTTTGTTTTACGGGTTATACTTATTTAACACTGGCATACAAACCCACCTCTGTTATCTCTCTTTCAGAGTACGGCAACGCAAGCATTACACACTCAAGCACAAACAGTACCAGCATCGGGAGAAGCCAGAAACACGATTCTCCGAGGTCAAAGGGCAATATTTCTCTGAAGGTGAGTGTACAGACCAAGCACAAGCAGGGCTCGAATGGAATGCCATTTGGGGCAAAAAAAAAAAGGCAATAAAGAATTTCAGCCAGCCGTGTGGCTTACAAGGACGCTATGCTGTTACAGATGAACTGCTTAAAAGTCAAACACCCAGTCAAAAGGGTCATCACGTACTGCACCATCAGCTAAAAGCAGGCTCAATGAACTCCAATTTAACACATTCCGAGCTTTTGAGCGGACTGTTTTGGTAACTGCCAGAGAGCTGCAAAGGAAATCTGGGTCAAAGGTAGCTGTAGGGTTGCTCTTTATGATGCTGCTCAAGTTCTGGGAAAGGACCCACACACAGTAGTTCCAATTACCAGGTCATTCTGTCCAACTATGGCTCCCACCCCAAATTCCTTGGGTTTGGGGCTTCGGCAGAAACGCGTGGAGGTGATCGCGTTTTGTGCCAGTTGGCTACCAAAGGCTGGATCATGAGCAAAAATTATTTTTGAAATGCGTCCAAAAATTCCTTTTTTTATTTCATTCATACATCAAGTGACTCGCTTACCTTTTTCTCTGTTTTGAGATCCTATCATTCTTTGTACAGTTTTTTTTTTTACCGGTGGGCTGCTGCACACTCACACCGATCTTGTGCTGTTGTAATTTGCTGACCTGCCCATACTGGCCGTCCGTGAAAAAACAGCTTCATAGCTCATCGGATTCCTCCTCTAGTCTAAATAAAGATTCTGATTCAAATTTTTTTTAAAATACGCTTATCGGAATTACCTGCGGCAAAAACGCCCCCCCTCCCCAATCAGATAGACTTTTGCCGTGCCGTGTCTCACAAAAGCCACAGCGGAAACAGATAAGCAGACAGCGGGAGCGTTACGGCAACTGTGAAATTCCTGCCCGCTCTTTCTTCGCTCCGCAGTCGGGGTGCACGCTCGCTCAGCCGTGCCTCAGCGAGACGCGGTGGAGGAGACGCTCGCAGCGTCGCGCGTGCGGCGAGGCTGACAGCGATCCGGTCCCTGCGTTTTACAAATTCCGCGCAATTTTTCCCATCGCCCACAAAGAGGGTGGCTCACAGGAAGGCGCAACCTTGGTGATATGCCTCTGATCTCACCTCTACTCCCCTCCAGCACACGCCCTCCACTCCATCAACAAACCCCCCCTCCCATCCTTCGCTCAGTGGGACATCACTCATTCTCCTGTGCAGTCCCCTTAATCCGGAACTCCATTCCTCTCGCCGTCCGTGCAGTCAGCTAGCAGTCCACTTTTGATTAGCGTGGCTCAGGAGCTTGTCATGACAGGTAACTATAATTTGTTGGCCGCTTCGAAGCGGTTGTATGTACCCTCGTGTATATATGTCATACTTCTTTCGCACGGTACGTAGCCAGCCATGCTAATCAGAGGTGCGGGGAAGGACAACGAAACTGCTGGGAAGCAGGCGTCATGCATATACGGTTTAAACACCGCACGGTATTAACCAGGGCGACACGCTGGGCTCGAACCGCATTGGGACGTTCTCCGTACTGCACCGCTAGGGCAGGGGGGGGGGGGGGGGCTGCTGGCTCGGCACGGCGCTCACCTCCACGGGCGTGCTGTCGTACAGGCGCTTGCCGATCACCGTCTTGCCGACGATGTCGATGTTCTCGCGCTCCTCGATGGACGAGGCCCCCACGAGGTGGCAGTCGACGTAGAGCGACACGGTGCGCTGCTGCACGCTCACGCCGATCTTGTGCCACGAGCGGTCGAACACGGCCGAGACGAGGGGCCCGCGGAACACGGCGCGCACCGCCGCCTTGAGCAGCCCGATGGCGTTGAACTCCAACGCCCGGTTGGCGCCGTCCAGTCGGATGGACACCTGTGGTGGGGTGGGTGGGGTATGGGGGCGGTGGAGCCGGCGGCCGGCCGCACACACTCTCACCGTGTACAGGGAAGGGCCAGGCCCATGTGCGGCCCGTCGTCAGTGCCACTGCTAGATGCGGGGGCCCCTCCGTGGGGGGTTGTTCGACCGCTGAGTTGTGTAGCTCGCGACCTGGCTATGAACAAATGATAGCTCGACGGAAGTGGCTTATCGTCGCGGGCACATTTTCTAGCAGCCAAAATACTCGAAACGCGTGATGGATTCGAAGGGGGGGTAAAACCGGAGGACCGGCAGGAAAATCCACGCGACCACGGGGAGCACACGCAAAGGCGCACTGAGCTATGTAGCTCTTTTTCAGAAGCGACGTGGCCACGGGTGATGATAGCTCAGCGAAAGTGGCCAATAGCGTGTAAATGTATAGCAGCCAAATACTCGAAATGCACGTTGATGTTGATTCTAAATGCGGGGGGAAAAACATGGAAGACCCGATTAAAAATCCACAAGACCGCGGGGGAGAACATGCAAACGCAGGGTCGTGATCGAACCCACGACCTCCTGTATAGCAGACGAGGCACTCAGCAGCTCGCCACTGCGGCAGTGATGGCTGGGAGACTGTAGATGCGGGAGCATTGGAGTGCAGACAAAGGAGTAATTTTGCCACACTGCTCCCTCCAGCTTCACCACAGCTCCCGGCACGCTACAACACCTGACACCCAAGCACTGTCCCTTCCCGAGCCTGCTTAGCTTCCGAGATCTGATGTTATCGGGTGCATTCCAGGTGGTTTGGTCAAAGGGGATAACGTATACAAATGCAAGAAATAAAAATGCCATTTAGTTACCCAAGAAAACCTCACTTGAGTCTCAGAATGTTTTTTTTTTGGGAGGGGGGTTGCATTACGTCAATTGCATGCATGAGTCATTGGCTCGTGCGAGGATTACTGGAACACCTGGAGATAAATCCACCACGCAAATGAGGATGTAAACGTCAAAGACCCACACAAAATATATTTAAGAATCTATTGCTGTACTCTCATCTCCTGGCCACCTCAAAGCCCAAAACTCCCATCTAAGAACAAAGACGATGACCCTGTTTCGTGTTTGGAGATGGCGATAAAGCGTTGCATTGCAACTGTCATCACCAGGATGTCAGCTGTGCCTGATGCAAAAAAAAGGTGTTTTTACTTGAATAAATAAAATTTAGGAAGGTATTTCCACTTCAACCTTTTTTGTCGTGGCTATTTTCATAGCCGGTGGTTTTAATTACACATGGAATATTGTTGGAGCAAAAAAAAAAAAAGACTCCCCGTTATATTTACCACGTGTAGTGCATCTGGTGAAATTATTAAACATGCAGAATCTGGGAAATGATTGTTTTTAATTTCATATGCTGCATTATTTGGTGAGCTATTTTGAATCAACTTCGTTGCATATTTGCCATGTGCTCCGTGGGCGAATTATTCCGTACACATTCAAAACGCCGCGCACGTGCGTGTGTGTGAAACAAAAAGCCAAGAAGATGCAACTTGTGCTACGCACCTGTGGAATACCATACTTGTCTATGACTTGCCAGATGTACCAGTCATCTGTTTTTGAAGTTTTTCTGAATCTGAATGTCGTTAGGAACGTGTACTCATCGGGGAGACCTTGTGGAAAGACATGCCTGGGAATGAAATGCACAGACAAAAAAAAAGAGGCAATGTAATTGAAAATGCATGCCAAGACCAATGAACCCAAAGATACCAGGTCACAGAAGAAACGCTTTAATGCCGCCCATAGATAACTAATATTTATGCCTGACAGCCTGCCACGGAATTGCCACAGCCATGCTGGATGGCTAAAGAAACTTCACAATTTATCGGAAGAAGTTACGTAATCTCGGACGTGACAGCGCAGTGCTTTGTAACTGTTGGCTGCGCACACGAATCAAAGTGAAATTTTCACTCGGTCACTTTTGGAAGCTCAATGACATCGGGATTCGTATTCACCGCAGTCAACTTCAATTTTCATTCTGGGCGAGAGCTACACACAAAAGAGGTGGACTGGGGGGGGGGAATCAGATTTACAGTGAGCGAGAAGGCATCTGGCGTGCATCCCAGCGAAGGCCTGAATCACTGGGGTTTTGTTTGCAGACACGACTTGAGAAACTAAAACGTGGGAGTTTTCGGTTGAGAAATCTGACGCAGACTGTAGACTTCCTGAACGGGGTTTTTTCGTGAACAAAAAGATTCCAGCGACTGTTTCTGCCACGCTGCTGCCGCTGCTGCTGCACACCGATTCAGCCGGTACAGTTGGCCGTGGTGTGATGGTTAACACGCTGGTCGCCTTGCAATTCAGATTTAGTGGGTTTTATTTGATCTCGCTGCGAGACGATTGAAACAATAGGGGCAGGTTTCTTAAATCCACCCGCCCCCATCGCCCCAACCACCCAACCACCTGTCCAACCAGCGGTGTAAATGGGCGCACCACAGTGAGTCGATCGGCAGGCGGCGTGTGGTCGCCAACTGTGGGTGACTCCCGCTCTCGATTGAAAACTAATTTCTTTTTTAGTGCTTTTTGTGTTTAGTTTCTCGTCCTGACCCCGCACCTCCGATCAGCATGGTTGGCTACGTACGTTGCGAAAGAAGTTCAAGATGCATATGTTAAGATGAACTTCGGCGCACTTGTCTTGAGATGGTTTCTTTATTTAAGGAGCCACGTGCTCACACCTGGACAGGCGGAGACCACAACTTCAACAGCCCCGAGTCTCCCGCGCATCTTCCTTTTATACGATCCGAGGCCACGCCCCCATTCTCGAACCTTCTCGCTGGTTCTAGACCGCTCGCTCAACCAGCTGACTCCACCGTCCTCTTCCAAAGCCACCAGTCCATTCCTATAACAGGCTGACTCCCCTGTCATTCCCTCCCGTGGCCACTAGTCCATTCGTATTGCAGGCTGACTACCCTGTCATTACCTCCCGTGGCCACTAGTCCAATCACACTGCAGGCTGACTCCCCTGTCATTACCTCCCGTGGCCACTAGTCCAATCAAACCGTAGGTTGACTCGACTGTCCTTACACATACATATACTCCTTTCGCTGCGGCATGAGCAAGCAATTGCAGGGTGGACAAGGGGAGAGTAAATTGAAGATGCGGAGAGGCTTGCGTCCCAGTCAATCGTGCGCACACGATTCAACCTTGCGAAAGACCCAATGCAAAATATCCCTCTGGGTTTGATCTTCCACGAAGCTCATGGTCCACCATAAACCGCTTCCACATGACTAACCATTACAGATGCCGATACCTAATGCACAAATGGATGTGAAAAAAAAACCTCTCCTGTAATGCCCGATCGACAAACACGACACGAGACATCCCGCCAATGCTCCTGACGCGGTTGTCTGGCTTGACAACCTGAATGTGAAATTGTAGTCGTTGCGCTCCATCTACACCCGCCGTACGAAAGAAGACGAACATTGGTGCGGCTCTTCGATGGACAGCCTCATCCTCACCGCACAGCAGGACTCCTCACGGCAAATCCACAGGAGTCGTTAAGCCTTCCTTTCTGTAAACGCGAAACATCTCTTGACACGCTTCGGAAGGGAGGACAAGTGTGCTACCATTCTCGCACATCGCACCCGAAATTGTGCGCACGCAGAGACTGTGCGTGCAGTGCAATTGTAGCCTAGGGGGGGGGTTGTGAGTGGTTGTGCAGCGGTTAGCGCGCTGCGCTACGAACCCGGCGACCCGAGTTCAATTTCCGCTCATGGCCAACACCGGTGACGATTATTTGAACTCGTTCTGGGCCTTCCCTCGGTCGACTCAGCCTCAATTGAGTCCCCGGTGCGGCATGTAAATATCGCCACCAGGGAGACAAAGGCGGCCGGGCTTGGTGCTGGCCATCCACCCCCTCGTGTGCTGTGCCGGCCTTCACAGGTGTCCGCTAACAGCACTTGCCCCAACAAACAGCCTGTTAAGGCTACACGGTGGGGGTCTTTGTCTTTGTATTCTACATTGCTGTGTGTGTGTTATACATTACATTTCTGGGGGGAGGCATTGGAGGACTGCTCTGTGAACCCCGTGAGTTTGAATTCTAGCTCTGGCTGCAAGTAACATACGAAATAGTCCTCGTCTAGTCCTAAACTAATCCCACACTCCTCGTCCTCCCCCCTCCTTCTCCTCTTCACCAATACACACTGACCAGCACTGGGAAGTACGGTCAAACGACTAACATGACCGGACACGGCATGGGGAGGGCTTCATCCAGCAGTGGATTGACGAAGAGGGATGTAAGTTGTTTTCTAATATTACACATTGCACGTTGTGGATGCATATGTTTCGCTCAACTCATCAGCGGGCACTCTTTAAAGTCGCACTGCGTTTATGACTCACAGTCCCCTGCATCGTGACTATTCACTTGAAAAAAAAATGCTTCAAAGTTCGGTGATTCACGGTCCATTCCTCTCTTTATTACACAGTTACAGTGCGGCAAATCCATTTTTCAGACCTGTTACTTCCGTAGACAACGTAGCATTGTTTTGATTCTTATTGGATTTACCTGCACCGAATCAAAAATAATACATTGTGAATGGTTCTTTTTTTCGTCAGGTTATGCCTGAAGACCGTTGTTCACTCGAGGAGCAATGTGTCTGCCACCACAAACATTTTTTTCATTACCCAGGAGGCGTGTGAGTGGAACATTTGACTCTGAGAACTGGCAGCCTTCTTCACAGTCTACCTAGCACTCTGTAAAGGTCCCCCACGCCTTCCTCCCACAACACCACCACCACCACCAACGCCCCTGCCCCCCTGTGCAGATGCTTCAAACCACCCCCACAAAGAGTGCTACGGTGATGTAATGTCTGCTGTTCTCAGTCTGGCACGTTCACAGCAAGCTCCCAAGATGCACGGGCTGACCAGGGAGGGGTGGTGGGGGTAAAACGTCAACGCCCTTGAACAGATGGGAAATTTGAGGGTTTCTGCAATGGAGGGGGGTTTTTTTATTGCACAATACTGTACGAGATCAGATTTCATGTTTTGGCCATTATCACGATATCAATCTCCAATAACTCTGTAATTGTATTTTCGCATTGTGATCGCAATTGTTTGTGCACTGCTTTACTCGCAGCAGAAGTGAGCCTGCTTCAAAGTTCACCAAGTTCAGTTGACTCAACTGTAATTCGACTAATGATTGCAACTTTACAATGCATAATGCCTCTAACGCGCATGCTACAATTTACACGGGAAATCATTGCAAGAGCTGTGACAACTCCTCGCAGTTACTCCAGATACAATTTTGCGAAGCGAAGATTCAATGGATCATCGGTATTTATTTCGAACTTTACCTATTGAGTTTACCATTTAATACATATATTACTTAGGAAATAAAAATATGATCACAAAATGGACTTAGTTTGGAACACGGATGACACTTTCATCACGGACCTATATCGCACTATATAGAGGGTGGTCCAATATCCGAGACACAGGGCTATTTCATTTATTTTAATGCTGGCATGAATAAGTAATATTTAGGTTTATATTTTATCCATTACAATTATTAATATATATGCTTCTTCTTCTTCCTTTTTCAGATGATATTTAAAAATGGAATAAAACAGTTAGATTTTTTTATGTGGTCTGAAGAAGACAGCTGTAATCTTAAGAACAAAGTCTCACATTTATTTAAACACAGAATTCACGCATGCTTTATGTTATTGGAATCCAGTTTTAACATTTGTCAAATTAAAGGATTTACTAAAAAGAAATAGAATCACCCTATGTGTCCTGACTTTTTTTTGTGGGCCAGCGAGTTCATCTCATAGTTGCCGCTGTATCGGCGGAAAATCTCGGCAAAGTTGATTGTGCGAACGATGTCAGATTCACGGTGCAGCACGAAGCGCCGTCCGAACGCAGAACGCTTCAGGTACGACACGGCAGAGACACTTTCACCTTCCCTTAGTGAACCACAAACCTGACATTTTTCATTCGTGGTGAACCGTGAACCCGTGTCATCGTACAAAACAGGAACTCACCGAAGTCCCGACGCAGGATAGAGATAGCGCTGGCTTTATCCTGCTTATAATAAAATGGGCTGCGCTTAGCAGTGATCGAAACGGAGGGTGGAAAAAGAATCTCCCCTAATTGTGCACGGGTGCTGAACCGCTAGCTGTGTCGTCACGTAGCCCTGCCACTCTCCCCATTATTCGCTAAATCCACAGGAGGTACGGACGCTATAAATCAAGAGAGAGACTCCCGATGCCATCAAATGGATTACCTAAGTCAACGCACAGTTCTAATGTTTTGTCAGTTACTCTTGAAATGCCATACGAAAGAAAGAGAGAAGAGATATATGAAACTTCAGCGGAGGCGTAACTTTCCTCCCCCCCTCCACTTCCCTGCGTGCTCTATACCCACCGCCACCACATATATGCGTGTATGTTGAACTTCATATTATTGGGTCTTTCGGTGAAGTCACGTAGATATCTTCAAAGAAAATAACCAAAAAATAACAAAAAACAATGACGTTGCGATCGAAACACAGGCTTTGCGATTGAAACGTCGATTAAAACGTCGTAGTTTTTGTTATTTTTTGTTATTTTCTTTGAACCTATCTACGTGACTTTACCGAAAGACCCAGGAATATGAATTCCTGCAGTCACGAAAGCTTTAAGTCAAGATTTAAGTTGAACTTCTTTCGCACTGTACGTAGCCAACCATGCTAATCAGAGGTGTGGGGGAAGGACAACAAACTAAATACAACAGTCAGTTCTCATTAAATTAGTTTGACAATCCAGATGATTGAAAAGTGCATAGCTTCCCAGTGGCGTCCTCATATCGGAAGGAAGAGCGTTCCAGACGGCCAGCAAAAGCGCATCCGAAATCGCGCGGCGATGCGGTGACCACCGTCTTTGTCCGACGGTTTAGGTCCAAAGCCGCCGGCATCGCCACCGCTGCGAGGATAACCGCGAGCGCTCACGGGGAAAAGAAGGAAGTGCGGGCGGCTTACTCGGTCAGCTGGACGAGCGGCACACTCCCGAGGCGCAGCGACGTGTGTCCCTTCGGGCCCCGAGTTTCCTTGAGGGCCGATTGGTCCAGCAGCTCAAACCGCTCCATCAGGTCAAAGCCTGCGTCACAGACAACGACGTCACCACCACCACCGCCGCCGCCACCACCACGGATGACAAGAACGCACAACGACACTGCCCCCTTTGTTCGGGTGATACTATTGAAAAAAAATGTTTTATCAGGTAAGGAACACCGAGCTATGTAGCTCGTTTTCAGAAGCGACGTGGCCCACGGGTGATGATAGCTCAGTGAAAGTGGCCGATCGCGTGGAAATGTATAGCAGCCACATACTCGAAATGCACGTTGATGTTGTTTTTAAATGCGGGGGGGGGGGGGGGAACATGGAAGACCCGAATAAAAATCCACACGAACATGCAAACGCAGGGTCGGGATCGAACCCACGACCTCCTGTATACCAGGGGAGGTAGTTAACATCTCTCAGTCGTGGCACCCCACAAGGGATGCTGTCGTGGTGTAATGGTTGGCACACTGGACTTAATCTGCTGGCGTGACAGTTGAAACAACGGTTACGTTTCATGAATCAACGTGCCCTTGTCCACCCGACAGTACCCATGGGGACACCACAATCGATCTGCAGGTCAAATGTGGTGGGGTAAAGTGTGGGTACTCCCTCCTCTTCCAAAATTGGTTGGCCTGCAGCCAGGGGAGGGCAGGTCAAATACGCTCCAGAGGGCTTCTCTTGAGCTCCATCTAGTGGAGGCCTTTCTACCGGCAAGTGGTATGAGCAAGACATTTTATGACCGCACCTTTAAGCTTTACTCAACATCCCCACGTGAAATGAAATGAAATGCCCCGATGCGGGGTCACGGTTGAACTCAACAATAAATTGTTATCATTTGTCACGTCTCATTTGCATGTTTACTCCGTTTTCCCAATTGCAGCATTAAGCGGAGCATCCGCCCGAAATTGGGCACACGTCACGTACAATCAGTCCTATTCGACGCATCGTCTTTAGCGCAGGGAGTGACGTCACATGCCTATTTGTTTATGCTTCACGAGCGAGTAGGAGAGCATTGTCCTTGGGATAAATGATCATAAAATCCCTACTTAGAAAGTATTCTAATATTGCCGTAAAATAACATGACAATTTGCTAATGTCGATTTCAAGGAAACGGAATTACAAGAACAATCGAGGATGTGTTACACACTGCGACAGCCCAGATTATGCTTCTGTTAAATGTTATGGTCGTCGGATTCTGTGGCTATAATTTAGTTGCCTTGAAACTGACTCGTATTTTTTTATAGCCTTCAAGGCAAATACTCGAAAGCATTCATCAATATGCCAAATTCCCAACACAGAGATGACACTCTTTCAACGTGCACCACCAAATTGGTGCCGCGTAAAATTTCAAAGCATTCAAACGTGTGAAAACACAAGCCTGTTTCAAGTTATAATGGTTATTGTCACAGAGAAATGAAGCATCTCACACTTTGTAAGAACCCATTCATTGTGCTTGAAGTGGGAACTTTGTAAGATACACTGGTGTGTGTGATCTCTCCTTGCATCTGGAGGTTGCCAACTATTACGTGTCTCTATTAGGGCAAGGGGCCAACACAAAAATAACAGCAAATGACATATTTGCCATTCTCTTCTCGTTGTCGTAGGCACAGTGCCATAAATCTTGCAGCCGAAGCAATTCCAACTAGTAGTCCCATTCAAACAAAAAAAACCAGGACCTGGAACGCTTGGTCAATGTCCAACATTCATTCTAGATTTGAAGCTTTCGTGACTGCAAGGATTCATACTCTTAGGTTTTTTCGGTAAAGTCACGTAGGTAAAAATAAATAGTAAAAATAATAGAAATAAAAATGATAAATCACGACGTTTCGGAGGCAACACATGAGTCAACATAAGGAGACTTGTGTTGCCTCCGTAACGTCGTGATTTAAATTTTTTATTTTATATTCTATTATTATTTCTATTATTTTTATTATTTATTTTTACCTACATGACTTTACCGAAAAAACCTAAGAGTATGAAGTCCAAAATTAAATTTACCCTCAATACTCCTAAATAAAGCATGCCTTCATGCTATACACACGACCCAACAAGAAAAAAACATAACCTAACAGTTTGTGGTAGTTTCTATAGCTTTTCTGTGCGCGTTTTCAGGTTGTTCTGCAGGAGTATTTCAGCACACGATGTGCTCCTGCGATTCGCTCCCCGCCTGCCGGGAACTTGTCCAGAAACCGAAGGGAAAGTTTTCGACGGGAGGAGTGCGTAACGCACGAGCCTCAAACACACTTCCGAGAGCTAGCCGGTGCAGTCGTGTAAACCCACGGAGTGATAAGTGACGTTTGGTGCTAATGTTGGATGGAATGGCATTTGCATCTGTGTTCAAGTTGATGGCTCATTTTGGTGGAGAGCAGGCCTGCTCCCGTGCTCCCGACTTGCTGCGAGATGTCTAATTTCGGAGGCATTCCGTGTGTCTTTTTTTTTCCCCTGACGCCTGCGGATTGCGATCCGACTCAAAAATAAAATGGGAGGCGCTCAACGCCACAGGCATTACAGTTTGAGTATCGTATTGAGGCAAAAATAACCGGGGGGGGGGGGGGGTGTGGAGGGCTTTAAATTTACTTTCTGGTGTCTTGTCGAAGTGCACTTCACTCAGCACCTCGTGGTGGCAGCCTTTCGTATCCCCCAATTCCAAGAACCATTTCCCTTCTTCCCCCCCCCCACCTCGCCTCAAAGGACAAATGTGGATCAATGACATTTGCCCTACTGCCCAGTTTCATTCACACTGACATTGGTCCGGTCTGTATTTACAAACATTTGACCACAGACACTCGGGGTGAAATTGTCTGTTGGGTTTTGAGCCCCCAACACTGGATAATATCACCCGTTCGTTTGTTCTCAACCCCCACTCCTCTGCTCAGACTGACGGGTGACCGGACAGTGAGGGGTTGGGATTGCTCAACGTATTGTGGCTGGCCATTGAACAAGGACGGTCGCCGCATCGCGCGCTTTCAGATGCGCTTCTGAGGCCGTCTGGAACGCTCTTCCGTCCAATATTAGGAAGCCACTGGGGCTATGCACTTTTATACCTATATTTAACACGAGTTTCTTCAGAACTTATTTTTGTGTTAAATTTGTCGTCCTTCCCTTCACACCTCCAATTAGCGCGGTTGGCTACGTACGGTGCGAAAGACGTTCAACACACAAACATTAATTATGTTGAACGTCTAATCTGGAGCTCTGCACGACCGCATCGAGAGAGAAAGAAAGCAATGAGATAAAGTGATGGGAGATAAAGTGATGAGACAAAGTTACTTGCTATTATGATAATTGTCACATATTAAAGAGCTTATTGATGTATTTATTTCAGGTTATATATTTTTTTCATAGGCCGATATCATTATCCATGAAAGGTGCTATTCACGACCAACTCCCTCGCGAAGAACGAGGGGATACTGCACTGCACTCCACTTTACACGATCCCCATGACACCTGCTTCATGCTTGGTGGTCACCCATCTCAGGCACGATCCAAGCTCACCCCTGCTTAACTTTCGAGGTCTGATAGGATCAACTGCATTCTGGGCGATTTTGTCATTGCCTCGGTGCACACACACATATATATAGCGTTATTATCGGCACTGAGTGGGACACGGCTGGTTTGCAGTGTTAGGCTGGTGAGCGTGAACTTCTTTGAAGCTCTGTGGTTACGTGCAGTAAAATCCGTAATGGCACACGCTTTTGCCTCTTTCTGTTCAAATCATGCCATGAATGCATAAGAGTGGCAGCGTGCTTTAGCATGAAAATTGGATATATTAGGTAAAAGAAAAATCCGTTTTCGTTTTGTAGCAATAAAATGTAATTAGATTATAAAAAAAACATGTGTGCATTGCATAAATAATATATTTAAAACTCAGGTTTGCAGTGAGATTGATGAATTCAGAACCAAACGGGCAGTTTGAGGCTTTCCAAAGCACGAATCTCTGCAGGCTACACGGCCCGTAGAAGTCGTGCATAGACGCGATTATGGCAGACGATGTGTTTGGGAATTTCGGCACTCGTTGCATTGCAAGACACCTCCCCTCGAACGCAAATGTGGCTCAAACTATCGTCGCTTCATCCCCTTGACTGAGCCCGCCCCCTTCAAATTGGTTACCGAGCGGCGAGACACGAGGGTCAGGAAAGGTCGAATCAAAGCGAGCGCGCGCGCGGCCATTTAGACCGGCGAAGCCACGGTCCGTTTCACCAGAGTTTAAACATTTGGGGGCTTTTCATGGAAAATGGTCAGCCGCTTCATATTTGTGGGTGCTTGCATTTCGTAAAAAAAAAAAAACGAATGCGGCACTCGATATTCCAATTAAAGAAGATGGCAGAGTGTTGTGTGTGTTTTTGTTTCCCCCCTTTCCGATGTGGTTTGGGTCGGTCACAAACAACAAGTGGCAGTGTAAGAATCAGTCACCGAAATTCACTGTGCGCTGTCGGGCAGCGGTCAGGTAATAAAATACATAAAGACGACAGTCTGCGTTGTGTATCTGCACAGCACTTACAAAATGTTGATCGGCGTATCAGCACATTGGCCCCTTCGACTTATGCCAACCAGCAGAATATTTGTGAAACAAGCTTGAAATGGTTTTGACATGCTTGGGCCTCATCAGCAGTCATATGGCTTTATTTAAGGTCACTCACGCAAAGAGGTTTCCTTAATTTTAAAGTGGAGCAAACTACAGCGTTTTAACCAGACCGCTGCTTCTATAACTGCAACTGATATGAACTCCCCTTTGTTTTATTCCGTATATGAACGTATCGGCGATTGATCGGTGGGGGGTTGAAAAAAAAATCTCAATAATTTTATATTTTCTCGCGATTCGCAACCCCGGTCAGAACATTTTGCGGCGTGCGTCAAAATCAGTTTCCGTGGTGTCGAAGCAGTCGGAAGACGAGTGTTCCGTGAGCGTCTGAAAACGAAGTTTCACAGTCTGTTGCCGTATAGCTGCACCCAGCCTGATGACGATTGGCCGGCTCCGTGTTCGAAAGGCAAAGATTTGACTCCTCATGCCCTCGAACTGGTCGGACGGTTCTTTCGATTCAGCGGGAGCCAAATCAACGGTCAATGTTGACCTTTGAATCGCGTCAAACTTGGCGGCAGGGTCAAGTAAAGACTGCTTAACAGATTTGCTGATTCAAGTTTAGATGTTTATGAGGATCGAGTGTGTTACGCTGCACCGGTGCACCGCCGTCGATACGCCGGCCATTCCCGAATCAACTCACGATCCATGCCATATTCCAACTTCGCCAAGAATAGGTTGACGAGCATCACTGCTTGTGTTCATGCCAAGAATATTTTTTGGGGTTTTTAAACAGGTAAATTCATTTGACGGGATGTTTAATGCACATCTCAGCAAATGTGCATACACGTTGCGTGGAGGGGAGAGACAGAGAGGCGATATAACTGCTGACTGGCGCGTTCACAAATCAAGGAGCGCTCTGCAATTACAAACAGTCTGCAAATTGATGGAGGTGTTGATGGTAAATATGGAGGACGACTGCAATCTGCGAGAAATGCGTAGATTATCCCATGTGCTGATTGATGCCTCGTGAATGTGACGGTGGGGGGGCGGATCCATATCTTTGCCTGGCTAATTGTACATTTCTAGGGGAAGATGCGTATCTCTCCCCTGGCAATTGTCAACATTGCATACTTGTCCGCCAACCAAGACAAACAGAAACGCTATACTATATACATCAGGGGCACTCAGCAATTTTAAGCACAACTGAAATATTGTGTATATTCACGTAACATTCGGCTTCTTAATTGTTTGCCTTTGTTGCCTTGTTTGATTATAATTCTAGCATTGGTGGCGCGCCACATGGCAATGAATCCACTCAGATCTGTCAGAGATCATTGCACACCGGTGTGAGAAAAAAACTTTTAGGGAAACAGACAAAGACAAAGATCTCCCGTCTAGCCTTAACAGCGATGTTAGCGAGTAGCACCTGTGAAGGCCGGCACGGCACACAGGGGGTGGGTGGCCAGCAACCACGCCGGGTCACCTTTGTCTCCCCAGTGACGATGTTTACACATCAAACAAGGCTCTCATTTGAAGCTGAGTCGACCTGCCCAGGACCGATTCAAACAATCGTCACTGGTGTTGGCCGTGAGCGGGGAATCGAACTCGGCTCATCGGGTTCGTAGCGCAACGTGCTAACTGTTGCACTGCCGCTCCCCACGTGAATTTTAATCCACCTTTTGGTGTCGTGTCATGAGACACTAAATCCGCTCAGAACTATCGGAGGTCATTGAACACCTGTGTTAGAGAATTGCCTATGGAAACAGAATTCACAAAACCACTGACATTCTTGCCATGGTGGCGAGATATTAACTACCTCGCCTTGTTTCCAGGAGGACATGGGTTCGATCCCGTCGCCCGAGGCCTTTATGTTTGAAGTGTGCATGTTCTACCCGTGGTCGCGTGGATTTTTCTCCGGGTCCACCGGTTCTCCCTTCACATTTATAATCAACATCACGTGCTTCAGAGTATTTGGCCGCTATACATTTCCACACTGTTCAGCCACTTCGTTGAGCCATCATTTGTGATAGCGAGGTCGCTTCTGAAAAATAGCTATTTAGCTCAATGTGCCTGACCTGGTGAAATAAAACATGGGTCATAGTTTAATTGACCTCTTTGAACCCAAAGTTGAGGAGGCACTCTCTCTCGCGTGTCCTCCTGCACGGTCGGCGCCTGCCGGTCAAAATGATAGTTTCATTCCGGGGGCTGAAAACTCTGCCAACTTAATTTGAAAAACCCAATTTTATATGATGATTTAAAAAAATATATGCATGCAGTCATTGACACCACCAGCGGAGGGTAAAATGAAATGAAATGAAAAACTAAAAAATGAAATGAAATGCCTTCATCAGGGAATGATACCTCAATCATTCTCATAATATTTAAAAAAGAGATAACTACTGACCTGAAGAATTACACGCCTATTAGTCTCCTGCCGAGTGTATATAAATTGTTTCACGAAGATGATGGCATACAGATTCATGGCACGTTTCAAGGCTAACCAACCGTGTGGACAATCCGGACGTATTTAGGCAAGGCCTTGCTACTATAGGCCACATGCATATCATCACAGGGCATCTTCTGGGAAAGACTAATTCATATCTCTTGCGATTATAACAACAAAACAAAACTCAGCACTTTCGGCAATAACAATTAATACCAAAAAAGTGTCTAAGTCATGAAATTTCATGCAGTGAAGAAGGATCATTACCTAAAATGCTGCTTGCGTTGAATTTCTTTCTCACCGTACGTAGCCAACCGCATTCATCGGAGGTGCGTTGAGGGTATTTGCCTGCCATGAATGTACGCGCGACAAGCCACTTTGTTGCGCTCTCGTTTGTGGCCAGGTCGCTTCTGAAAATGAGCTCAATGGCTCTCTGGGTTATTACCTGGTAAAATAAAAAATCTTTGTAGTTTTAAAAAAAAAATGTTCGAGAGGTCATCCATCGTAGAGATGGAGGAAGCTAAGCAGGCTTTTTTGGCCTGGTTACTACTACGATGACTATCAAAGCATTCCAGGTGTTGTAAGTTACGGGCTCCGTAATGGCCAAGAGATGGGAGTGTTGAGTGTCGGCCCCTCATCTGCATGGGCTTCCTCTGGTCACTGCAGACTCCTTCCATATCACGGCAACCACTCACGAATGGTATTGGCCAAAACTCCCAATGCAGCAGGAACAAAGTATATTCAAAACTCCATGAGGTTGCCCAAGGTCAGGGGTCGGCAACCTACGGCTCCGGAGCCGCATGCGGCTCTTTACGGGCTGCTTCTTGACGATATGTACAGTATGTACTCAGATGCATTGCGGCTCTTGAAATACTGAATTTTGTATCGAATTGGAAAGAAATGGCTCTTCTTGTTATTTTGGTTGCCGACCCCTGCCCTAGGTAAATAACTGGCACGTGTTATTAAGTCGACCCATGACACGACCAGCACTGTGCTCATCACCATTATCAGCCTTGGTCAATCCACTGCTGGATGAAAGCCCTTGGCAAGCTGCTGCCACCCCTCCCACACCTGCACACGTGCTCCTTGCGCTACATAAGTGGACTGGCGTAACTTTTTTTCGGAAAGAAAAAAAATAAAGTACGGCGAACAGGTGTGGATCTGAGCATACCTTCAATAAGTGTCTCCTCTCGAATGTTATACTGCATCTCATGAGTGTAGTTATGCATTCAATAAACATTTCATTTCACATTGACAGGCTGCAAGGATATTATCTGTGAAAATAAAGAACAGGCAGCGTGACCTTGGCTCCCGTGTCAGGGCTAACACGAAAATGAAGGTTGCATATTTTTACCAATCCTCCTGTCGCACTGCAATTTCATGAATCCTCCACGTTTGTGTGAGCTGAGAATTTTGATAGGGAAATATTTAAGAGGAATGAAGGTTTTTTTTTTTTAAATAAGTTTTGGCACATTCTGCCAAAAACACATTTTCCCTAAACGCAGTCAACATATTTTTTTCTCACAATCATCTTCCACGAGTGCAGCTAAGACCATCGATTTGCCGGGGTTCGAAATCAAATAAAAAGGACGCCTCGTTTTGATAAGAGCGAGTTCATTCTCCAGAGAATTTAAAATATAGATCGTAACCTCAAACGTTATCCTCTGCAGGTCAACAAATTAATACACTCCTTCGTACGTTTACAAATTGCACGTATATATATTTTTTTATTCGGGCAGTTCCCACAGAAACATTCGCTCTGGTACACTTCGTTGGCAGAAGCAACACAGGCACGCGTGACTGTACGGTTGCTACGATAGAGTTTAATAAACGCGCGCGTACGCACACACACGTACACACGCGCGCACACAGACACACACGAGTGCGTGCTATGTAGCCAGCAATGTTGGGATGGGGACACAAATCGTGACGGGTGTCCTAGGGCCACAAATCTGGACGAAAAAAAAGCCCTGCAAACGTTTTTTGTTGTTGTCTTAGCCCTGATGATGGTTTGCAAACGGCTCATAATTTCCATTGGGCAATGTGAGACGTCGCGTCTGCTGTACTCACCACAAGCTGTTCGGTCCGTAACATTCACAGAGCCGTCATCAGTCATTGAATGTGCACGGCATGGCCGAGTTTCCCTCTTGAAAACTGAAATGGGTTGAACACAACTTACCTGGGACTTGTGTAAACTCTCCCGGCTCCTTCTTCTTTTCTATTTGCAGGTTCGGGCAGATGACGGCTGTTGGAAAGAAATCGCAATGAGCGTGGGCATTAGCACACACATTACATTCACATCGCCGTCGAAATCCTTCTTCGACTGGAGTTAGAGCATTAATCACTTGTTTATTTTGAAATGCCAAAATTCCATGGAGGTCTAGTTCAGACTATTGGAAAAACACAACTAAACATATAAACACACTTATTCAGTGCGCCGAGTCGATTAGAGTCTACCTAATGGGCACATAGGAGGGGTACATAATGACTTATCCCGCGTGTGCGGTCAGAAGTTTAGAATGCGGGTTGAAGTGTGGCACATGTTTGGGCGCTACGTGTCCCGAATGCAGAGGTCACCGTTTCGACCTCCCGGCAGAGGTCGCAAACGGGTTTTGATTCCTTACCCGTACCCGTACCCGGCCGCACCAGGGTCGCAAATGGGTACCCGTACCCGGCCGGGTACGGGTAGCTGGGTATCGGGTAGGGTACGGGTATCGGGTACCTGATTGCGACCTCTGCCTCCCGGCAGTCGAAAAAATGGTTCAGGTTGTCCACCCGTCAATGTGTAAATGCACCGCACCGCAGCAGATCACCTGCGGCGGGGTGAAAGTGTGGGTGCTCCCATAGCTTCCAAGACATCGAGCCAGCGTGGAAGAGTAGGCTAAGATACCCGCCAGAGGGGTGAGTATTTTCGCTCGAGCGGAGGCTCCTCCGATTAGCACGGCGTGAAAGAAGTTATACGTGCGTATGTACTTCAGTGCCGGATTATCCTAGTAGCAAAAGTAGCTACATATGCTACGGGCCCCCGAACTTTCAAGGGCCCCGCACTAAATGCTTTTAAGATATCTATTACGGTTCAGTGAGTCTGCACTTGCTCAATTACTATAGTACTATACTGCCTTCAACTATTATGAACAACTGGGTGTTTAAGGTTTAACGATTTGTCGTATCATCTGGCTGTATAGCAAATGCAAAAATCCAATAACTTTACTACGCAAGTAAAAAATTTGCGTTTCAATATTTATGTGTTTTTTTTTATTGTATTTAGGGCCCCTTTATAACATATGCTACAGGCCTCGCACTAGCTTCATCCGGGCACTCACATAAATACGATAAATTTTAGGGCTGCACCCTCACTTTTGACTTTTTAAGTTCCCGTGTCAGAGGCTGACCGTCGGGAATCCATCTGTCATTCCGGAGCCGGGTTGCCTCTGTTGGTCACAGTGGCTTCACACCAGCGCCACATGCCACCACCGCGTTGCTCTTTCGTACAACTTTTTTTCTTGGTTCAGGGTGGGCGGGCGGGCGGGAAGGGGTGTTCTTTTTTGTGGGGCTAACTTCAGAATTAAATAAATAAAAACTCCAGTCGTTTGTACGTAGGTCATGACCCCTGTAACACCCTTGAGCCCACCAGCCTGCTGCAGAACTGAACACACGTCAAGGCACCCGGGATAATCTCCACTGACAGGCCAAGAGAGAGAGAGTGAGAGGCTTGCTGTCCTCACAGCAGCAGTGGCAGTGGCAGACACTTTCACGCGAGAAATCTGGCCACAGATTGCATCGCCCGGCAATGTTTTGGCTGCTTTCGTCGAGCTTTAACAAATATTTCCTTGGCTTGTCGCCACCACCACCACCACCGTAACCCCCCATCCTCCCCGATCGCAGCAGCCTCGTGAAAATTTTAAGAAGGGAAACTCCAAAGTGCCGCAGACAATTTCGTTACGCTGAAAATGCTCCCCCTCCATCCACCCTTGCTGCAGGAGAGGGTTCCTTTTGTTTTAAAGTAAAAAAGAAAAATCGTGCCACTACGTTAGGGTACGCGTCCCAGCTTGGCCCAGTTTTACTCCCTCACGACGGACGGACGTGTAACAAATAACGCAATTGCAATAACGGGTGACATTAAGCCGAGACAAGAAACACAGAGGTCACTCGCAAAATGTAAAGCCTCGCTGGAGGCTACGTCTGCTGCCACATTTTACTGCCTCAACCCCAGAGCCTGTGTTGTTTTTTCTTTCAGTGAATTCACATGATGGAATTGAATACCATCACCCAGGCCACCTTTATGACCCTGTTTTAACCCTCTGGCGAGGGAGGGGGGGAATAATAGGCGTAACCCCATAATGCTCAAAGACTGGAGCTCTGTAAATTCCAGTTTGACCTCTACGTATTGATTATATCTGCTATACATACCACACAGGAGCCCAGAGATAATGCAAAAAATGAAAATAGCAGCCTTGGCAACGTCCCACTGAGATAAATTACGGTAAGTCAAGTGCAGATAAACTGTGTTGAACACCGCCATCGCGATAGAGAGCTTCCAGGACCACCAATAATTACCCGAACGAAAAAACCCCACTGACTTTGTATTTTAGAGTGGCAGACTAAATGCAGCACGTACATACCTCGTGTCACTTGCGGCATCAACCCATGAAAAGTGGAAATGCACGTTACAGTTCATATCCATATATTTGATAAATTATTAAACGTTTCGTTAAATGTTTTGTATAATTTACAGCCCGTCGTAAATCCACATTGGGTGAGGGCTTCGCCACGCCGTGTGTTTGGTCGTGTGAGTTGTTTGGCCATACTTCACCGCGCTGGTCAGCGCGGGTTAGTGAAGGAGGAGGCCATGCCATGACACGTGTAGATATCTCTCACCACTCGATGATAGCTGTGCTCGGAAGACGAACCCGAGTCTGGTTTTGTAGCACGGTGTGCTCACCACTACGCCACTTTTCTACCTCTTACACATTCCTGCGGAGGGAGCTGGTAGGAACGTTGGGTTGCTCGGTCAATGGCCAGGGTCAACGGCGGCGTGGTGTATTCCGCAAATATGCCCGACTGTGAGGGCGGGCACAAGCCGGCGTGAGTCGGTTAAACGTTGAGTTTTATAAGGGCACCACGGGGTGACCAGCCCCTCCCCACCCAGCCCCACCGCTCCCACCCCCTACCTAGCCCCACCCTCCCCACCCAGCCCCTCCCTACCCTCCTCACCCAGCCCCTCCCCACCCATCCCTCCCCACGTAGCCCCACCCTCCCCACCCAGCCCCTCCCCACCCACCCAGCCCCTCCCTCCCTACTCAGCCCCTCCCTGCACGACGGACGGACACAATAATCCCCTGTGGGCTGTAACCAGGAGGTTCCAAACCAGTAAAACGCTTTTTGTATAATAATCTTTTTTGATCACATGTGAAGAGCGAGCACACGTGGAAGTGGAGATCGGGACAGGAATGAGTGAACAAAGAGGAGCAGGAAGGCGAAAACCACATTTCTGCAGTGTGAACATTTCTCGGAAGAATGATCTTTTTTTCTCTTGAATAAATATTGACTTTCTATAAAATTCCAGGAAGTTTCATCACCGAGAAACAAATACGTGTCTTCAATGTCAACGTTTATGAGAAATGGATTCACTCTCCCCACTCTTTTTATTTTTACATATGCGACTGGACGTCTGTAAAAAGTAAAGGATCTTCTTGGTTCTTTCGGTAAAGTCACGTAGAAGGGAAATAATAAAATAATACAAATAAAATATAATAAAATACAATTCTCACGACGTTTCGGCCACAACGCAAGCAGCCGTCCTTAGGTGAAGAACAGGGCTGTCAGAAAGACATTTCGGACGCTGTATTTTATTTTATTATTTCCCTTCTACGTGACTTTACCGAAAGAACCAAGAAGATGAATCCCTGCGCTCACGAAAGCTTTAAATCGAAAAATAAAGCAGTTTCGTCACTTGTCGGATTCCTTCAGTATAAATACTGTTTTCTGATTCTGGACTGCCTTCGTCTGAGATGAGACGTGATGGTGGGCAGGGCCCACGATAGGTGTGTGTGTGAGGGGCGGGGGGGCTCTGGGACAAACCGCCGTTGGGTTTTTTCCACATCATAGTGGCTCTGCTCCCGGAATATTGGTAATCTCGGCTCAGCCACACATACAATATGTTCAAAAGCGCTTTTCATTCGGTCAAATTTTGGCACACTTCCAGGGCAAATTGTAAGGAGCTAAGCGTAGTACTTTAGGATACAATGGATTGTGCTTTAAAGTGAAAATGTAAAAAAAAAAATCAAAATTGCACTATTTTTTCTACTTATTCCTTTTTTTATGAGCTTGGCACCCATGGGCAAGGGGATTTGAGTGTGTGTCGGTGAAAAGGGGGGTAAGATTTCACACAAGCGAGGGTAGGTGCACGGTTAGGAAAAACGAAAGAGCAATTTTGCACGAAATTACACAATCTCCCCGAACCAAAATTCAAACAAGAAAACTGTGTTTGAAATCTTCAAGATTTAACCTCATTGAGCGAAAACGCCACGTTTCAAGTCAGTTGAGTTGAACGGCCGGCATTGTCTGAGCAATTTGCCTTTTTTGTGTTTGTTCTTGTTGCGTTCACGGCTGCCAGGAGATGATTTGTGTGCCCTGCAACAAGCATTGTCCCCAAGCCGTAAATTGCGATCTCTAATTAGGCGACAGATGTCACATCAAAACTACCGCTCGCTGGAGTAGTCTTCTCATAATCAGGTGCCCGATTGGGTTTGTTTGTACGAAGCACCGATTGGTAAAACAATGAAAATAAATTCCTTTATTATATGAAAACTTTTTGTAAGCTTCCATAAAAAAAAATCGTTCGGCTGTAAACTTGTTTTTGTTATCGAACATCCACTAAGTGACTCTAATTGCCCACGCGAACACAAGATCACCCCGTAAACATGCACGCATCTGTGATAAGTTCGTACCCTTACGGTAAACAGACATATATGGGCGTCTGCATCAGCGAAAACAACAAAAACATCAGGTGATGGGCGCTTGTGTTGCGCCCGAAACGTCGTGAATTATTTTATTTTATACCTACGTGACTTTGTCGAAAGAACCAAAGAGTATGGATTCCTGCAGTCACGAATGCTTCAAATCAAGATTGAAAAACAACTTGCTTAGTTTGACTTGAAATTCAACATAAACTCTGGCTGCATGCGCTAAAGTGACCCTAACGATGCAATAAACCCAACTCATCTCGAGTTATTTCGTGACAACGGCAATCTAATCGCCTCCTGGTGACCACAAAATACGATTAATTCAACGAGAAGCTCTCGACAAACAAGCGGATGGCGTTGCGTCTCCCGCCGCAAAAGTTGCGAATGCGGTGGCCAGAACCAGACCGCGCCCTCACTCACTTTCACAGCGGCACAGAGACCGACGATTGTGGTGTGTGTGTGTGGAGGAGGAGGGGGGGGGGGTCACAAATCTCAAACCATGGACCACAAAATCGCAGCATCAACAACAACAAACAAATACCCCCTCCACTGCCCACTGCAATCATTTGCCGGCAGCATCGTTTGAAACATTCATCAGGCTACTCCTGCAAAAATAAAAAAACACACCTAACTTTGCTCCACTCTACCAATCGTCGACACGGACACTGAACACCCAGTGCACGCGTTGCCGCTGATGATGAACACTGAACACTTAAAGACACGTTGCCGCTGATGATGAACACTGAACACTTAAAGACACGTTGCTGATGATGAAAACTTAAAGATACGTTGCCGCTGATGAACACTGAATACTTAAAGACGCGTTGCCGCTGATGAACACTGAACACTCATAGACACGTTGCTGATGATGAACACTGAACACTTAAAGACACGTTGCCGCTGATGAACACTGAACACTTAAAGACGCGTTGCCGCTGATGAACACTGAACACTCATAGACACGTTGCTGATGATGAACACTGAACACTCATAGACACGTTGCTGATGATGAACACTGAACACTTAAAGACGCGTTGCCGCTGATGAACATTGAACACTTAAAGACGCGTTGCTGCTGCTGATGAACACTTAAAGATACGTCGCCGCTGATGAACATGAACAGTCAGCACACGCGTTGCCGCCGATGAACACTGAACGCTCAGAAGACACGTCGCCCCTGCTGAGCGTGAACACTCACTCGGCGCACGCGTTTCCAGCTGACCAGCCCCGCACCTTTCGAAACAAGGGGCAGGTGGAGGGGAGAGAGAGGGAGGTTCGACGGGAGGTGAACACGAGAGAGAGAGTGAGAGAGGTGGTGCGGGGGGGTGGGGAGAGCGCTCACTTTCGCAAATCCTCCGGCGCAGGATGTCTCGAAGTTTGTCGATGGCATCGAAGTCGGACACGTGGAAGACGTGCGCGTCCAGCGGCTCGGACGCCATCTCCTCGAGCTCCTCGCGCATCGCCTCGCCCACGCCGATGGCGAAGATGCGCACCCCGGCGGCGCGCGCCTCCTTGGCCGGCTCGAGCACCCAGTCCTGGCTGCGTCCGTCCGTCAGCAGCACGAGCACCTTGTTCACGGACGAGTCGTGGGGCCGCGCGCCCGCCTCCTCCGAGAAGCTGTGCTTGGTGATGTAGCTGATGGCGTCGCCCGTGCGCGTGTTGCCGCCGGTGTACTTGATGTTGTGCGCCGCGCGCTTCACGTCCTCCTTTGCAAAGTGGGAGCCCAGTTCGAACTCGGTGTGCGCGCTGTCACTGTAGCGCACCACCCCGATGCGCGTCCTCTCGCGGCCCGTGTCGAACGAGCCCACGAGGTTGGACACCCACTCGCGCACCTTCTGGAAGTTGCCCTTGCCCACGCTCGACGAGCCGTCGAGCAGGAACACGAGGTCGTAGTGCACGTTCTGACAACCTGCGGACATCGCGAAGAGCGGCGGGGACGCGTCGGGCTCGAGACGCTGGGGAACGGCGCGCCGAGGAGCCAGGGAGATTGCCAGCAGCAGCAGCGGCGGCAGGAGGAGGTGGAGGAGAGTTCGGTGCGCGCAGCCCCGTGGACACATCCCCGGGGGCGCAGCGTGCAAAGGCGACGTGCGACGAATATCCCAAAGCCACTAAAATCCCTCCTGCCACATACACGCATTTAAATGGGGACCTCCCTTTGCGCCTTCCCCTGGTCATCCACGCAACACCCCCCAGAAAGCCAATAAGTTCCGCATTTTTAACAGGGGGGGAAAAAAAAATAGATCCTCTCTCTCTTTTTTTTCTTCCAGTTGTTGCCGGTGAGAAGCGCGGGCTTGCTGCGCCAAGTTGCACGCACGCAAGAGAAAGAATGACGAAAAGAAAGAAAGAATGAAACCCCTCGAAACTCGCGACGAGTCAATGCGCGCTGCGTGCCGGCACCGCCGCCGCGTGTCGCGCGCCCAAGTTTGTCCCCGTTGCAGTTTGCTCAACGATTCCTCGCTGAGCTCTGAGCAAAGGTCTGCGCCGACCAAGAGGACGCAGGATTCCAGTAATCAACTGTTGTGTGTTGTTGTCGCTGGGTGGAGGAGGGGAGAGGGCGCTGCTCCTGCGATGCACTACAGACCCTGGCGGCCCGAGTTCGAGTCCCGCTCACGGCCACCTGAAACGGTCCTGGGCCCTGTCCCCTAGGTCGACTCAGCCTCAAATGAGTACCTGGTGTAGCGGTGTGTAAACATTGACAAAGGCGGCAGGGCGTGGTGCTGGCCGCCAAACCCCTAGCGTGTCGTCCGGGCACTTCATAAGTGCTCGCTAACAGCACTTGCCCCGACAGTCGGTTAAGGCTATATGGGGTATATTTGTCTTTGTTGTGTGTGTTTTTTAGATCTAAGGATTGCGGGAGATGGCGATGGCGTGGGATATGGAGAGAATCCAGTGGCAGGGATTTGCCTAGTCACGTCTGCATCCTGCTGCGATTCGATCAATTATGGCGATTTAATTTGACTGCAACGATTCGATTCCAGAGTCGACTGTCTCATTTAAAAGCCCTCGTTTTGTATTTTCCTCTCGTTTTGTGAGTCTCTCCCTTTTTTTATTTCAACGAGGGGTTCCCTCCCCCCCCTCATTAGCCCAAAAGTGCCACTGGTAGCTTTTCGTTCGCACAACTCGTAAGATGAATCGGGTTCTCGCACGCTCAATTCCACACGCGGCGTTGTGAGCGTTAAAAATGATCAACATCAATTGATGGCACCGTGACGCGACTATTTAATGAACGCGACTCGCTGTGAGCCCACCCGCTTGCAGACCGAGGCGTTGGATGGAACGGCTTTGGGCTCACGGTTACGTAACAAAAACATGTCACCCGAAGTGTTGCAAAGTTGTCTTTGTGCTGTGAGTCAGAGGAATTCACAATTATACAGCGCCAGTTATTAATTAGGGTTGCAGAATGCTGCGCTGTTAGATTCCCAATAGAGACAAGTTAGAAATGCGATGCCAATTATAGTACAGTATTATTATTTTACCCAGGAAAGGCTGAGTCTCAAGATTCTTTAAAAAATAAGGGTCCTGCTACATTTGGATATTTGGCCAATTCCATGATTGAATGTTTATCATTATATTTTGTGCTGCATTGGAAGTTTTAAATGTAGTGTTGGGTTATTGTTTGTTTGCCGTATTATCAATCAATGCAGTCATTTGGAAACAAGTGAGTCACTTGAAAGATATCCAGGACAGCCCTTTGCCAATCCACCGCTGGATGAGGGCCTCCCCACGCACACGTGGGAGCATGGAAGTGCAACAATGGATTTTGCTGTACCGCCTCTCTGTAAGATAAACACTCCATTCATAAAATCTCAGTGTGCTTACCGGAGCCTAATGCTTAATTTGTCATTGAATATGTTCCTGAAAAGGTACGGAGACCCATTGCGTCCAGACCCAAACACGTGGGGACCCTCCTCCTCCTCTCTTAACGTCTTTCAAACCCCGGGATCCGTGAAGATTTACCGGCTCTCTCCGCCACCGACTCTCTTCCGCCGAGCGCCAGCAGAAGTCCGGCGAACCAGAGCCAACGAGTCATCCGACTGCTGCTCTCGCCGGCAGCCATGGTGGAGTGGAGTCCAACGCCACCGACCCTCGGAAGGTCTCTGTGTGCGTGCGTGTGTTGGCACAGGTGGTGCATCAGCCAGTCATCTCAGTCAGTCGACCCGTGGGCACCTGCTGGGTCTGCCCCGTGACCTCCTGCCAGCGGGCGTTCGACACTTCACGTGGCCTCAAGGTGCACATAGCCTGGCACAAGCGTAGTGGTGACGTCACCGCCACTTCGTAGGCGAATGGCGGTTGATGTTGTTGTTTGATAAGAGAGGTTCGTGGAATCAAGTTCCGTGGAAGTGCAAACAAAGCCCACTTAACCCATTTGCTGCCACCACCGAGAATATTGTCCCCACATATGCGTGGCGAGAAAAGCAGTCTTGGGTATCACTCATGACTAATATTACTTTGCAGTAAATCGCGTCGTTAAAAATGTGCCGTTAATCCACCGACCAGCCGATGCAGCCAATTAGTAAGGTTTTGTCACGTAAACAGAACGTGCCAATTAGTTACTACTTCAGCACACCGGTGTGTTTGACAGTAAATCCACAACATTTACAATTTGATCTTCATTTGAAACTTTCGTGACTGCAGGAATCCATACTCTTTGGTTCTTTCGGTAAAGTCACGTAGGTATAACATAAAACAAATTAAATCACGACGTTTCGATCGCAGCACAAGCAATCCTCATCAGGTGGAACAACCACAGCAAGACAATGTTGAAGTGGGCGGGAGAGTTATAGGTACCGGCCGGTTTACTAGGACACTGTTTTAAATCCTTTATATTAAGTTCACTTGCTTGCTTGCTTGCGCGCTTACGACCGTGCAAATCTTTCGGTCGTTTTTTAACCCACTTCCCGTGATCCAATCGAGCTGACATTTTGCACACAGACTCGTTGTGCGTGACAATTTATTTTCGTGAATTTTTTTCTCACAAAATGTTCCACTTTTTAGGATTTTTTTTTCATATTTAATTTAAAATACCAATGTGATAAAAATGAAACTCTTACTCAAGAAAAACAGAAATGAATAATAAAATAAAACCGATGCCACGCATATAAAGGATTTATAGTGAAAAACTTTGTTTTTACGGGTTAATTTTTTATCTGTTGTCCCCCCCCCCGTGTCCCACACTCAGCTTCCCACTTCTAGCCCCTCCCCCTTCCCCCCCCAGCCTCACGTCCTCTTCCCATAGCGCTCACGCGACCCCCCCTCCCCCTACCCCCAACCCTCCCCCTCTCTCTCTCTCTCCCCCCCCTTGCTCCTCCCCCCTCTCTTACCTATAAAACCTCTTGCCACGGCAGCTCTCCCGCCCACTTCAGCATTTTCTTGCTGCGGTTGTCCCACCTGATGGAGATCGCTTGTGTTGCGATCGAAACCTCGTGATTTGTTTTATTTTATTTTATTGTATTTCTACCCACGTGACTTCACCGAAAAACCCAAAGAGTATTTGTAATTTGAGGACGACTTTTCGCTGGTGATTGCAATAGCTGGGTATCACTGCCCCTAAAGGATACTCATAATCACGGGGTAACCCCGACTCAAACCCGAAACCATAGCCCCTGAACCTTAACCCCTATCACACGAAGCCTATAATCGAACCCATAAGACGACAACCTACACTGTAACACCTAAACTTCAACCCTAACCTATAACTAACCACGAGCCCTAACTTTGTGCCTAGCTCATAACCCTATCCATGAACCTTCACGATAACCCCTAGCCCCAGAGGTGTAGTTAGGGGGGGGGGGGCATGGGGGTACATATGTCCCCGGGCGCCAAGGTAAAAGGGCGCCAAAATGAGGATTACAACGTCACATTATAACTTATTGCGGCGGGCGCGGCAGCCTGAAACTACTGCACAAATCTACACCTCAACCTAAACGTTTATATATCCCGCCACACACCGCCTACATGTCATGTAATTACATTTTGGTACGTGCGCCTATTAAGAACTTACATGGAAGAACGTCCCAAACAACAGACAGGCGCAGTCTTTCAGCCTTAGTCACTGGCCTGTTTTTGGTGGCGGAAACTACGACGGCCTGAAACACGCTGGAGTGCACGATCAGAAGCTGTTAAAGCTATCTATGAAGGACTGGATGAACTAGTAGGGCTACTAGACAAATTATCGGAGGACGTAACTATGACGCCTGAAACCAGAAGTGATGCAGAACAGTTACAGGCATTCGTATTAAATTTAAACTTCATAGTTTTATTACATTTTCTGTAATGTCATTCTTGGAAAAATTGATCGTGTTCAGAAGCGCTTACAGGATCTTACTATGAATTTCAAGGAAGCAGCAACTGATCTTGAATCTTTGGAGCATGAATTTGTCAAGCTTCGTGATGATTTGAGCCAAGTTGCTGTAGAAAACGCCAAAACAAGATGCACAGCCTGGGGGATCGATGTGGACAGAAGAATTAAGCGACGTCGGAAGATGCCAGGAGAACTGGCAAGAGATGCAGGACTTTCAGCAGGAGAAGAAATTGTGTGCGTTATGAAGAGCGTATTTTATCGACTTCAACAGGAGATGTCAACACGGTTTTTACGACTAAAAGACCTGAACACAAAATTTGGATTTCTGCTGGACGTCAAAACTCTTCTATCCGACACAAATGTCGATGCAATTCGTCGAAATTGCACAGATTTTGGAAATTTCTATGACACCGACATCAATGGCCACGAACTTTTCACAGAAATTGGAGATTGCAAAATGCTGCTCAGTAACCGGAATGAAGTTCTACCAGAAACTCCTTTGGATATTCTTGGTTTTATTGTGTTTTATGGAGACGACATATTTCCGAATATGCGAATTTCACTGCAAAGTGTATTAAGAATAGCAGTTTCAATTGCAAGCTGTGAGCGGTCGTTCAGTAAATTGAAATTTATTTTGTCGTATTTGCGTGCTTCAATGGGACAAGATCGTCTCAGCGATCTTGCTCTTCTTAGCGTTGAAAGAGAAACATTTGAAAAAACAAATTTTGATTACGTGATTGACCAGTTTGCGACAGTGAAATCAAGAAATGTTTTTCTTTTGTAGACTATGTCAACCAGTCTACGACAGTGACTGAGTGAGCCATGTAATATAATTTCTAATAAATTTGCTTCTTTAAATACAATGTTTCATTCAAATTTTAATTGTTATTCCTTATTCGATGTAATAGGAAAATGTGATTAAACGGTGGGGGGCGCCAATGTTATAGTTCGTCCCAGGGCACAAAAATCCTAGCTACGCCTCTGAGCCTAACCCTAAACCATGAACCCCAAAGAGTAACCTCATCACTGACCCATAACCATGAACCCAAAGCCCATAGCCCTTAGCACATTATGCACACTAAAGAAGACGTTGTCCCTGACTCATCAACTGAAACCCAAAGTGGCGCGGTCTGCGATGAGACGCAACATTTACCTCGGGATAACATGCATTCGTGCCGATGTGTGCTTATGTGGGGGGTCCTCTAGGTCGACTCAGCCTTAAATGAGTACCTGGTGCAGTGTGTAAACATCCACTCTGGAGACAAAGGCGTGGTGCTGGTCACTGCACCCCCCCCCCCCCTCCCCAGTGCGCCGTGCCGGCCTTCAAATGTGCTCTCGAACAGCACTTGCCCCAGCATAGGGACACATTTGTGTTGTGTGTGCGTGTGTGCAGTGTGCGCCACTGGGAATTGTGCGCGCATCTTTCTCTCCACGTGACTTTTGCACAGGAAAAACGAGCACGCTCGCTTTGCGGCCTATAGTTTGCTGTTGCGAGGAAAATAAACGACATGCTTTCGTGTTGTTATTGTTATTGTCGGCGTGAAGAGAATTGTCCACGTGTGTATCTCTCTGTTGTGGCATTTTAAAGATGGAACAAACCGTGTGCGAAAGCAGACGCTCGTCCATTAATACAAATGTGACATCATATTTGTGGTTAGCGCAATGCGCTATTGGAATGCATCCCCCCTCTTCGATTCCCAGCCACGACTGACATCAATGACAAGTGCTATCTGAACTGGTTGTAACACACACTGCCCCCCCCATACCCCCTACCCCACCCCTCACAAATCGGAATGAACGCATAAAATGTTACACAATCAAAACAGATAGATAAGTACATAAAAATAGGAGTGGTGGTGCAGTGGTTGGCGCATTGTGCTGTCAACCCAGGAACGTGCATTAAATTCCAACTGGCACCCTCCCCCCTCGCCGCAACCCCCACCCCCCCGCTCTTAACCAACCCGTAATGACCAGCGTGGTCAAGTATGGTCAAACGACCGCAATCATTGACGCGGCGTGGGGAATCCATACAGCAGTGGATAGGCAGGGTTCTGCGTTCACGTTATTAGACTTCTTTTTTGCTCGAGGGTGGGAGGTGACGGATCGTTTGCGATGGGGTGCTTGCGCGTGCCTCGTTGGACGTGCACGGTGTGTGTCTGTGTGTGCACGTGCCAAAGATTGTCACCGTTCGTGAATGCAACAGCAAACGCGCGCCACGCCCTGCATGCGTTGTGACACAGCACTGCAGGAGAGATGTTACTCTGATGGCCACGCGCAGGTCAAGATTCAGTCAAAAACAGGGGCTAGGTATATCACCCTTTCCTTTCCTAAGCCCCAATTTAACCCACAAATACCTTTGGCGCGCCAAGCATTAACACACACCCCGCAGTTATCCGATAATAATTGTCTCGCAGTGGTAACAGTGAGTGAGCAGGGCAATTATGTGTGTCCTGTATGTTGACCTTCATTCGCACCGTACGTAGCCAACATTGCTAATTCGTAGGTGTGGGGCATATCATGAACACACGCAGTTTCCACGTGGAAAATATTCTCCCCTCTCAGCATCCGATTAGTGCCGCTCGAATGCTTGCATGCAATGGCTGTTTTTAAAACGAAAAATAATTATACATATATAATTTGCGAGGCTTTAGGAAGTGCTCAGGTCGGGAGGGCCTCTTGTGACCGCGGGCCGCAAAGGCAATTAAGTCGTGAGAACGGTCAGGGTTCCAACCCCCCCCCCCCCCCCGCGTTAAACAAACCGGCCGACGGCTGCTCGAAGCGACGCGATGCTTTAAAGCAGAGCGAGTAACCGTGCCCCATTGCGAGACATTAATCATATCTATCGGCACGCTCATTTAAACAACAAAAAATTCGCGTTCTACGAGAGAGAAATCCCTTTAATTGCTGGCATTGCCACTCCTGAAAAGAGGGTTTCGTCCCCCGAGGTCAACGCGTGAACTTTGCCTTGTCGGGTGAGCCCGGCAGAAAGAGAAAAACACCAAACTCATCCCTGTTAGCGACGTCCGAGTGATGTCTATTGCATCTTAACGCTCATGCTATAATGTGCAGCCGATGATGCATCACTTCTGTGGCTACGAAACGTCGCTTAAAAACAAAATCGATACAAATGGTCGCCAATCTTTTCGTTTTTGTCGAATCCCCGTGCAGATTGAAGCAATGCAATCGCCATAGACTCTAAATATATCGAGAGTATAACGATGCGTGTGTGTCAGTCTGTAGGTCCCCCCCTTGAGCTGACATATATGTCAATTCGCTAATCATCAAATACAGAATCAATCCACTGCTGAATGAAGGCCTTCCCATCTAGTACCAGTCGTGTGGGTTGTTTGTCCCTGCGTCACAGTGCTGCTCGGTTGCGGTCCGGTGAAGTGGATAGACACCCAGGACGGCTTTAGACGCCGCTCGCCACTCGATGTTAGCTAGCCGCAAGGCAGGAATCGAACGGAGGCGAAACTATGCCGCTGCTAAGCCCCCGATTAGCACTTTGCTGGTTAAAATAAAAAAAGGCGGAATTCATCTGTCGAATCACCCCAGGTGCGACGCAAGCTGCACGCTGGCCAGCGCGAGCAATTCCACTTTGGGATGAGAGGCATTTCGCCAGCAGTAGGGTGACGAAAGACACTTAAACAACGAACACCCACAAACAGTGGCACGGAAATGCGTTGAAAAAAAAAACCTCATAAACAAGTGGCGACCCAAAATCAAATAAACAAACAAGCAAAAAAACCTGGCAACCAAGAGGGGGAAACGCATTTCGGTCATACCTCGTGGCCAAACTTTCACAGAAACCCTCGACCGTCTGAGTGTTACCAAAACAATCTCTTCTTAAGCGTTTGTTGACGTGGCCGTAGTCGAGGGTTCACCATGCATGGCCCTGGTTGTTAGCAAAAAAATAGAAACAGTCAACATCGCCAACAGTATGAATGCGAGGTAGGCGCGCACGGCAGTTGCGTTGAGCTCCAACGGGCACCCAAGGCAGACTCATTTGGCCGCGAATCGCACTGCGGTTGTAAAAAGAAATCGTATTAATTTTTGGCCGACAGGGCAGCTGCGTGCCTCCCACACCCAAGGCCAGTTCACCTGTGGTGAAGCCATGTCCAATATCGCTTTCCCAATGTGAGTGGCTGTTGCGCTTAAGGCTGAATGAACAATTGTGTTTTCTGGGGCACAGAGGTCATGATTGCCTATATTCAATCCAAACATATATATATATATACACAGGATGTGGTGGGTTAGGGTAAGAAAGGGGAGCGGTTGCACAATAGTCAGCGTGCTCAGAAATATTAGTCGGGTGAACTGAGTTCAATTCAATTGACAAACAAAATGGAATAGACGCTGAAGAGCGCACACAGAAGCGTGGGTAAGTGTACGCTTGGGATTACAGAAAAGGAAAGATGAACACATGAATTAGTGAACATGTGCCGGTGAAAGCCATCAGTTGTGACTTATAATAAAACGCAAATGGGCTTGTGCAGGACACGAGCCAAAGGTTGATGCTGGCCTGTGGTCGAGTGGGAGTTTAAGGGGGGTTGGGTGGGACACACACACACACACCCCTTAGGGCATTCACCGTAGAGATGGAGACAATGAAATTCGGTGGTAGGCTGTTTGTTGCATGGCAGAACCGTCAGTGATTAAGAAATTCTACGGAAGGGGGGGGGGGGCTTCATCCAGCAGCAGTAGATTGATCATGGCTGACGATGAATTGACTCGTATTGGCTGACTCATGTACGTCGTGCCTCGTTTGTTCCGTCTCTTATGCTCTGTCCGTCTCGTTCGTGCTTGGCTCATTAGCTCGGGTTCGTTTGGACTGTGAATCTCGTGCGTACTGCCCAGTTCTTTATGTCTCGTTAGTAATACCCTATCCCGTTTGCGCAGTCTGTATCGCCCGTCTCATTTCTATCGTCCGTATCGTTTGTTACTGTTGCCTCAATGTGACAGCACACACAGGTAGGTTCCATACAAATTACATTCATTATAAGTAACCGATGATTATGCTCGCGACTCGGTGCGTCGTTTGGCAGAAGAATTGATTTGAATGCATGCATCGTGACATCCGTTGCATTGCTATTCCTGACGCTCGGCTGACTGTCATCGTAATGTTAATTCAATGCACAGCACAGTGCTTTGTCGAGCCACTGTTCGGTGAATCAGAAGCACAATTAATAAAGACCACGGTACGTTCGTCAATACTAGGGGAAAAAACACGTAGAAAAGGCGATGTTTTTGGGCAATGGCTCTTGTGTTACGAAGAAGGGCAATTTCCAGAATCATTCGTTTGTTAGATGAAGGCCTTCACACTCCTCGGGGGCTTATTTGACCATACTTCACCACGTTGGCCAGTGGGTGGGTGGGGTGGAGGGTAGGGAATGGCAGGAGTTCCAAGATGGATTCAGATGTCAGTCGCAACTGATGTGTAGCCGTGGCTGGGAATCGAACTTTGTGTTGCCGAGTCCAAAACGAGTCCATTCTCTCCTTAACATTTTCCGCTAGACCCGACTGCACGCGTCTCGCGTTGTCCACGCAGCCCCCTTTTGGCGAAAGGATAGAGCCTACAGTTGAAATGTGGCTTAATCTCTCTCTATATACATTTTTAAACTTTTACCGGTGCATTACGAGTGATTTTCTCACAATAGCGCCACAAGAGCTGTCTGGGTCGCATAGAGCTCACAACACAAAGCTGACGCTTCTGAGACTTTGGGTTCAAATCCAGGAAGCCATCGTCTGTGAGTTAAGTACTGAAAGGTTGAGTTGATGTTCTTTGCCCGGTTACCAATGGCTGCCATAATTTCCATAAGCAGAGTGTGTGGGTGAAGAGCTGCCCTCTTCCGTGTGGGAGCAGAGGTCACTTGAAACAATCTCACACGTAACTCTGTGATATCCACTTCCGTGTGCCGTCCGCCAACACGTAGGGTTGCGCTTCTCTGCAAATAATTCTGAATTGATACGTCGTCTCATGCGTGACGCCCATAGAAGCATTGGAGTTCAAAAAAAAAAGATATTCCCTCGACCCGCACAACGAGAGAGTGAGCTAGAGAGTGAGTGAGAGAGTGAGTGAGAAGTGGGGGTTTACATAAAGCAAAGTTTAAAAATTTAATAATAAAAAATTACGAAATGATGAACGAAGCAAAGTGCCGAATACACCCTCAACGCTGCCATCTCCTGCCCGCCTCGCTGATCCACGCTCTGACAACACCGGGCAAGCCTCGAGCGGCCACCCATCGAAGCGCACTAAACCAGGCGTCGAGCCGGCTTAGCTTACCGAAATCTTACGAGATCGGGCGGATTCGGGGTGAATGTGGCCCTTGAAACAAAATGCGCACCAGATGTCGGAAGCGTTGTGAGGCAGCCAAAGAGAGAGAGAGAGAGTGGCAAGCGATCGTGACCTTACCAATGGTGGCTGCGAGCCATGGAGTGCGTTTGTGTTTATATTTCGCTTGCCATTTGCGCGTGCCTCGGGGCTGTCATAATGAACGCCCCATCGGGTCCTCGATGCGTTCACGGCGCTCTCGTGTCTGCGTATCTAATAATAATAATAATCCTTTATGCTTCCGTGAAGTGTATATATATCAGCTTTAATCGTTATCCTGGGACAATGACCCCCACAGGACATCTCTCCACCTAAACTGCCGTTAATGTATGCCTGATTAATGGTCGGCGAATAGTTAATTAATTCAATTGCCCCCCCCCCTCCTCCTCCCCCCCACCCTTACCAGAGGATGCTCTCAATACGCAGCGCTAATTAGGTACCGGGAAGGAAATACGTGGGGAATAGAGTAAGAAAAAACAACAAAAAAACTGAACTTGGGTGGTGGAAAAACGTGGGCAGCAAGCCATGGTTTAACATATTGAGGGTATAACCACAGATTAATTTCAGCCGCAGTAATCCCGGGCTGAGCTCCAGAAAATATACGGGGAGGGGTTGGGGAGGGGAGACGAAACATTCCGCAAGATATGAAGCCCTCTGTTTAAAGATTCAACTAACCCGGTTATGCGATGATTTGGCATGATTCGATGACAGAAATTCATTATCTCGTCTTTTTTTGCTGCATAGTTTGTATTTCTTCTGTTTTTTTTATCTCGTTTGTATATTTTGATCGCTAGGTTAGCCTTAACTGTTTAGCATATATTTGCGCACGTAAAACAAAACATAGTTTCCTGTCCGCGTAATTCGATGCATTCATTGATCGTCAGCCTTTAGAATGAATATAAATCAATTAAGTGTTAAGGCCCATATTTAGTAACCCGATATAATTCTGTAAAGGTCGATTCACCTCACGACCCATTAGCGATTCTACGAAGTATAATTTGGAGTCGTAATTCGACTCGATTATTTCGTGTAAGTTCTGAATATAGCGACCGCGAGTGTAACGTGAACCTATACCATGCAACGTATACGTTTTCGTAAAACAGGAAAAAAATGGGATTCTTACGCAAGTGATTCGATGGCATATGCAATGTCTGTCTCTTGCGAGCTTCAAAATGTTCAACATAATCATGCACAGCCATTGTCCACCCACAGCTGTATACTACCATTGCCCGCAAAAGATGATAAAGACATGTGCAGTGTTGGGATAGATGGCGATTGGAAAATGGCCCGAACCCATTTCACATTTTCCTGTGTCTCGGGCAAGTAGCGACAAGGGAAGATTTACGTAGTTTTTCCCATCGGTGGAAAGAGACAAGGCTACCCCCAGAGTAGATGCTGGGATTGGAGGACGGACACGTCACGCATAATTCCAGTTGCAACCACAACCACATTTCTCCCCTCCCTCCCTTCCATCAAGAAACAATAACAAAGTGCTGTCACCGGCCCACGTTATAGAACTCTGCACCATGCAAGCTGAGTTCGTTTCGCGGCCACGACTGACGTGTCAGCAGGGAGTGCCTTCTGACATCAGTCCCTAGGACCCCCCCCCGTCTTCAGAAAGCTCTACCGACCAGCGTGGTGAAGTATAGCGCAACAACTTCGGACGAACACTTAATCCAGCAATGAATCGACACGTGGCCTTACATTATTGTACCGGTGTGGGCTATAACACGTACACGTGTTCCTGGCAGCGAGATGTATAATGCTTTACATTGAAGCATGTATGTTATAATATTAAAAACACTTAATGATAATAACAACAACAGCATCATCCCTCCAAGTCCCACGTCGCGTTTCCTCGACCGCCACGAACGCAACGAGATACGCGATTCGGAACGGCCCCGACTTGACAATCGGCCAACGTCCACGATGGCAATCAATTCATTAAAACTTTATTACGCAAATCAAATAACACAAAATTGTGCGATAACTGCGTTACCAGTGCTGCACAACAACACAGATCACGAACAAGCACAGGCAATACATGCTGCATAAAGTCGGCGACGTTTTGAGCATGGATACGATTTGCAGTCCATCCGAATCAAGTAAAAAAAACACTAAACGCAAGCCAAACAGCGTGCAGCGTGCAGCGTTAGACAATCAAAACCTCGTTAAGTTACGATGCAGTGCCAAACAGCGATGTTAGAGCCATGTGTTGCAATCAAAAAGCGTGCAACGTTACCACGCACCGAATCCACACGGCGTTCGCAATTGAAAACCGCGTCGGCATTCGAGTCCGTTCGTGCACAGCGCGATGTTAGTTCGCGACGACTGCCACTCTTCACCGTGCGTGAGCATTCTGCACACGTCGAGCGGGTCGGCGGATATAATCGGTGACCTCACCTGCGCTTGCCTCTGGGGCTGCCGCTCCTACAGCTACACGCTAATTGCGCATATTTGTCTCATGGTCCGGTCGCGTTGAGCGCAGTAGCCGCCCCTGTCTGGGTGTGTGTACTCAAGGCATTAGCCCGGCCAAGCAGTGCAGCGCAGGCTCTGGATAGGATGTGGGAACACTTAACTTTAGCCGAGGCTAAAGTTATGCACTGACGTTCAAGACACCCCCCCACCCCAATCACCCACCACCACCGCTTGCTGCAGACACGCGCTCACAAATCCGTGCTACCGTCTCGTGTGTCCGAATTGAGCCACTCCTACGAGCACACAACACCCATCACCCTCCCTCCTCTCCCTCCCTCCTACCACCACCACCACATCGCTCACTATCCACGGCTACCCACCCCCCCAACTCCTCAACCCGCCTACCCCAACTCTACACCCCCCTGTATCCTGGTATCGGTGTCTCTCAAAAACTGGCCCTTGCTATTCTAAAGCGGCCGTCTGGCCAGGGCTCCCAGGAGCATGGCCTTAAATGAAAGAGAAGAGGTCAGCGCGAGTGACCGACCCAGCTGGGAGACTAATTTGGAAGCGCCACGTTGCGAGCCCCCTAGATTCGAGCCGGGGGGCGTTGAACAGCGGCGGTGGCGGCCGTAGCAGCAGCGGCGGCAGCAGTTGCGCTGGACTGGGGGTTGCCGCGCCGCGCCTCGCTCAAGCCAGAGGGGCTTTCGCTTTGAAGTCGTTTCCACGTGGAATTATTTTTTTTTCTTCCCCCCCCAGCGCAGCCACGAGACGGCTACGGAGAGAATGCGTGGCTGTGGGGGTGGGCGGTAACAAATGCACGCTGGTTTTGCGAGCCACGCGGGAAGTTATGCCGATTCATCATCATAATAATAACAATACTATTGATTTACATGACTATGTATAGCTGCTTTGGTCAATCCACCGCTGGATGAGAGCCACGCTACGTTGGTGATGAAATTGTTTGAGCAAACTTAGCACGCTCGTCTGGTGCGGGTGGGTGAAGGCAGAGAGCATAAATGTGGCAGCATAGAAGTACAGACCAACGATGGCTCTTGCTGCCCCGCCGTATACTTCCCATAACATGATGCATGAGAGATTACCAATAAGTTTAGTTTTCTACGTGATGGTTTGGCTGCTGCAGCTCCTATCTATTAAAATCCCTTCCCTTTATTACTGCTAACCTACCTCCTCCCTTTGTTGCTGCTAATCCTACATAATGCACGGGAATAATATGACTTTGAGACCCCCCCACCTCCTACGCATTTCACAAGTAGTGACTAATCCCATATCTGCATTTTCCATAAATATGCTAAATTCCTCTGTTGATATGCAAATTCCTTTGTCAAGGCGCCCTTCCTCCCCTAACCCAGCTTAAATATACGCTGCCAAGCTTGGTGGTGTTCATTCAGACGCTGTCTTTCCGACAGACCTGTTCTTCACCTGAGGACGGCTGCTTGCGTTGTGGCCGAAACGTCGTGAGAATTTTATTTTATTATGTTTTATTTTTATTATTTTATTATTTCCCTTCTACGTGACTTTACCGAAAGAACCAAGAAGAAGCTTGCAACCTGCTGTCAATCCACTGCTGGTTGAAGGCCTCCGCGTGTGGTGTTAAAAGCCATGGATTTTAATTAATCATACATTCCTACGTTGGTTATTGGCAGATTGATGACGGTTAAGGTCCATATATCACTCGTCACCGATGTTAGCTGTAGCCGGGCATCTAACTTACGTGGTATGGCTCATAGTACACTATGTCAACCAATGCGCCACCACTCCCTTCATTGCTGTATTCATATCACTATCAGCCGTGATCGAACCGAAGCTGGATCAAGGCCATCCCAAGGAACTGGTCATCTTTCGCGATCCGGCGATGTAATAATGCCCCTCGCATCTGCGCGCAAGCTGATTTCATCGCTCCACGTTCCATACATTGGCTGACACTTTGTCATTATTCTCATGGCTGAGATATATTTTAACATGAAAGGAGTCATGTTCGGCAGACCTCGACATTCAACGCAATGCTGATATTTTTTATTTGTTCTCAGTAAAGATGTTGAATTCGAGTGGCGAAATCAATACAGCGAACAGTGATTGACATTCAAATCCACCATCTGGTAGAAAAGAGGAAATTCACACACGTCAAATCTGTCGGCTGTCCTCCAAATTCCAAAACATAGGTGGCACATATAACGATGTATGTTGAACTTCTTTCGCACAGTACGTAACCAACCGATCTAATCGGAGGTGCGGGGGATGGATGACAAACTAAGCACACAAAAAAAACCACGATGTTATTGTCATAACTTTGGCTCAAAATACCGTTGCACCGGTGATGCGTTTTAATGAAACATACAAATTTTGTTAACATGTCCACGTGATGTTTCAGCCACATTGTTAACAGTTCAAATATTACAAGTGGTGGATTACATGGTGGGGCAGTGGCCTCGTGGGTAGATCACTGCAGTACGAATGCAGCACTCTTCAGTTCGATTTTCTACCACGGCTGACATCAGTGGCAAGTGGTATCTGGTCCGATCCTGAACAAGCCCCTCCCCCCTCATCTCCCACCCCTACACCTTCTTCACCAACCCACACTGACCAACGTGGTCAAACAAGTGTGGGGAGACCATCCATCGTGTTCGAGCCGTCCCAATGGTACGGCGAATAGGGGCGACTGCCCTGGGCCCCGTGGTTTGGGGGGGGGGCGATATCACGGCGTCAGATGTAATAATTTGAAGGCCTCGGTTGGCCCATAAGGTGGGACTTGCTTCTGGCTCCGCACCCCCCCATAGACGGCCCTGGCGACCATCATTCAGCAGTGGATTGACAAATAGGTTGTAAACTATTTTAACTGTATATATATGACGTATATATGATCGGTTAGTGGTAAGCGTGTTGGCTTCTTGGTTTTCCCGGAAGTGCCGGCGGAATTGGGCAATTGGAGCTGCCACTCTCTGCAAGGCATGCACTGAATGCGGCGTTGTTGGGTGCTCGGAGTCAAACTGTTTCAAGGTTCTGCTGCCACCACGTGCCTCCCGTAGGCTGTGATTATCTCGTACACGTGCTCGACTCATTGCGTTTGTTTTTCTTGTGAATAGCTTCAAAGTGATTTAACGCCACACTTTGAACCCCCCGATGCATCATGTACACACATCGGTGGTGTGCTATGATATATAAACTGTATACAGTATATCAAACTGGTGATGAAACGTTACGTTAAAGATTTTCTACACATTTTAAAGGTTGCTTTTAACTCCTAAAATCTACATTTTGATTTAAAGCTTTCGTGACTGCAGGGATTAATATTATTGATTCTTTCGGTAAAGTCACGTAGAAGGGAAAACAATAAAATAATAAAAATATAAAACAATAAACCTGTGGTTTTCACACCTGATGATGATTGCGTGTGTAGCAATCTAAACGTCGTGAGAATTGTATTTTTATTATTTTTATTATTTTATTGTTTCCCTTCTATGCGACTTTACCGAAAGAACCAATAATATGAATCCTAAAATCGAATTAAGTTAAAACCGTTTTTTTGTTTTTGCTTTTCACAATTCATGTCATGCTTTTCACAATTCATGTCGACGCCACCATCAAAATTAACACTAATTACTGGAGTTGGCCTAACAGCCCAAAGAGCTTTGACATTTGCTGGCACAAATTCTGGGCGCGTTCCCGCTTTGTCTGCGCTTTCCTGGGCCTCTGAATAGTTCTCGCTCTAAGAGGGGAAACGAAGACGGGAGCACGTTCCAAATTCTACACGAGAATTCATCATAACATTACATTGTACTTTGAGTAATTCGGAAAATGTATTTCTTTTTCACAATGGTCCGTTATTTGTTGAATTGGTATTATGCGACGGTTTTCCATATGCATAGCGACAAAGGTGAATCTATAAGAGATATGTTCTATTTCGATTTAAAGCTTTCGTGACTGCAGGGATTCATCTTCTTGGTTCTTTCGGTAAAGTCACGTAGAAGGGAAATAATAAAATAATAAAAATAAAACATAATAAAATAAATTATCTTCTTGGTTCTTTCGGTAAAGTCACGCAGAAGGGATTATTATTTCCCTTCTACGTGACTTTACCGAAAGAACCAAGAAGAGATGTTCTAGTTAATAAGCATGATCCTGGCTGCTACTCCCGTGCAATGTTTATTATATTCTGCCACGAGAATGCCAGACGATATCACGTGTTCTAGATTTGAAGCTTTCGTGACTGCAAGGATTCATATTCTTAGGTTTTTTTCGGTAAAGTCACGTAGGTAAAACATTAAAATTAATAAAAGTAAAATAAAATAAAAATCACGACGTTTCAGAGGCAACACAAGCTTCCGTCTTCAGGTGGAACCGTCACAGCCACGACAGCTGTATCAAGTAAATGAGAGATTGCAAAAGCTTGTGTTGCCTCCGAAACGTCGTGATTTTTTTTATTTTACTTTTATTAATTTTGATATCACGTGATCAAAGGTAGTGTCGCTCCATGACATTAGAAAAGCAGAAAGCTGCCGCAATGTGTCGTCTTGTTTTTGTTTACCTTTCGAGGGTCTAAAATGAAATGAAATGTCTGCTATTGAAAGCTGTAATGTGTTTGTAGCTGTATGAGTCATGGCAAAGTTTAATAACTGTTCAAATGGCTGCATTGAGATAACAATGCATTGTCTTCATTTATGGATCTGGCTGATAAGGCATGACAAGCGAGAAACCTGCACCACTGCTCCCCAGTTTACCACACATAAAGACAAATATACGGACAAAAACAAAGGTCCCCAGCATAACCTTAAGATACTTTTGGGGCAAGTGCTGTTAGCGAGCACCTATGAAGCTTGGCACACCACATCGAGGGTGTGATCTGGCTCGCGCCACGCCCGGCCGCCTTTGTCTCCCCAGTGGCGATCTTTACACACCGGACCAGGTATGCATTGGAGGCTGAGTCGACCTAGGGGAGGTCCAGCACTGGTTGAGCTTATCGTCACTGGTGTTGGCCGTGAGAGGGAATCGAACTCTTGTCGCCCGGGTTCGTAGTGCAGCGAGCTGCGATAACTGGCTGCACTACTGCAACCGATACACACACAAACACACGTGTGCCCGCGAACTGCAATAAGGCACCTTCTATTATGCAGGCTGCTTTCAACGCTTAGTGATGATCAATGAA